CCGGGGAGGATGTAAACAGAGAAGACAAAGAAGAAGAACTAAAAAGGAAAGACTATAAAGGTATTTATTTAATAATAATAATAATCATCCTAATAATCGTTGAAATTATTATAGCATCTGATCACGTCTTCGAGACGTCGTAAAACACCTTTAGAAGAAATAATAAATGCATCTCATGGTGGGGGAAATCCGGAAAACAAGGGGGGCATCATCTTAAAATTAGAGCTCAGCCATTTAGGGGTGAAATCAGAGGCATTTTTTCAGACAAAGGCGAGTGAAAATCTGGAACTCTCTCCCCCAAAAGGCTGCGGATGCTGGAAACAGAGAGATGGAATTCAACAGAGAATGCCTTAAAAGGAAACAAACTGTGACGTCAAACTGTAGCTCCCTTATAAACCCTCCGCGTTGATCATTATTGGAGTCTTAAGTTGCGGTATTACTTAATAAGAAATGTGTAATTGTCAATTTTCTAAAACATGGGACATGACGTGTGCAAGCGACTGCCAGGATGGTGGAAGGCAAACTGGATGGACCTAGGTCTACTTTTGCCTAAGAATTTTATGTTCTTATCAAGTGTGCCGAAGAATACTGTGCTAAGTTCTCCTCCTACCCCCTGGTGCCTCCTAATGAAAGCTTCTCTTCCTCTCAGGCTACGGAATCGATGAGGTTACCTCCGCTAGCAGTATCCAAACGGTGCCCAGCAGCCACGAGGACGCCCTGAGCTTTCGTGAGGAGAAAAGCAGTAAGATTGTAAAACCAGTGCCCATATATCCCAGAGGCAACTCGGTGGAGTTGGGGCCAAAGGTAAGGTCGCGAGATGATAAGTACATCTCCGCTCAGGCACAGCCAAAGGCTGAAAGAGACAGCAGGGCGGCAGGAGAGAAACTGGTGGAACGGTTGGAGAAACACGCGCTGTCCAGTAGCTACCCGGAGCTGAGATATGGAGAGAGGGGATCTGAGAATCACAGGCTGTTTACGACGGAGAAGGAATTTTGGGTCGATGCCCACCTCATGCCTTCATCTCGGCGCCCAAAGTACAGTTACAAGGCTAACTCGGACAAGTCGGAAGAGGGGGCCAAACATCACCGGGACAAACAATCTCGCCCTTCCTCCCAGTCACCGACCGACCTCTCGAGCAAAGCCTCACACAGCATCGCTTCCAACACCAGTAACCCGGACGGGAAGCCCAAACACCGGAGCGCTTCGGATAAACAGGCGAGATCCGAAACCACACTCAAGGAGTCGAGCAGGAAGAGAGCGGAGACCAGACTGAGTCCCGACGTTCACCTCTACATGTCCGAGTTACACTCTTACGCCTCGGACCACAAGGCTCGGTCGCTAAACTCGCCAAGCGACGTTCGAGCTATGAGTGAGCACAGCAAAAGAAAATCAAGAAAGGGCACCAGAGAGGAAGCCTCAACCACAGGCAGTGCCCAAACCACCCGCAACAGCGAAGAGGAGATCCTGAATATCAGGGAAGAAAAAGTCAGCAAAACGGGGAAACCCGGTAGAGAGACCACAGGAGAGATTGGGTCAAAGACAAGGTCAAGGGAGGATAAGTATTCCAACAGCCATGCTCAGGTAAAAGGGGAGAGAGATAACAGAGGAGCGGGAGAGAAGGTTACAGAGAGGTTGGAGAAACAGTTACTGCTTAACGCTCACCAGGAAATGAAACATGGGGAACGGTTGTGTGACATTTACCGATGTAACCCAACAGAGAAAGAAGTATGGACAGATCACCACACCCCAAGCCTCTCAACAAGGCGTCCCAAGTACAGCTACAAAGCAACCGTGGACAAGGTGGAGGTGCAGAGGTGTCCACGCGATAAATCCTTCGGCTTCTACTCCACAGCCACCGAATCGATTCAAAAGCCAACCCAGAAACTGGAATACACCGTCATGTCCAACAGCACAAGCCCCGAGATGAAGAGGAAACACATCAAGTACAAGGGGTCGGTCAAGGATTGCGTGAAGTCGGAATCCATCGGCAAAGAGGTCCAGAATCAACAAGAGGCCAGGACCAGCCCTGATATTGAGCTGCACATGTCAAAACTACAGTCCAAATCCGATTGCCTGGACCTCATGCCCAGTGGAACCACAGATGCCTCTTTGCCGTTTGAATATTCCATCAGAAAATCACGGAAAAGTTCCAGGGAGAAGAACAGCACCTCAAGCAACTACCCGGAAACCTGGAATGGTCAGAACATGTTGAATACAATCATGAACAAAACAGATGGGTATGAACAGAGCGGTTATGCCAGCATTGGGGTGAAGACTTTGGAAGGCTGGGGCAAGGGATTGACTTGTGAGGTCCAGGTGGAGATGAGACACGTAGAGAGACTTCCTGAGAGTAAAGAGGGTTCGTCACTCCTTGAGAAGAAGGAAGTCTATTCAGGATACAGGGCGTCCAGGCGACCACGCTTTAGTTATGGAACCAACGTAGAAAAGGAAGGCGATACCATATACGTGTTGAGCAAAAAATCTTCTCAAACCCCAGCCGAACCCATGCTGAGGATCACACCTAAGTCAGAATATATGGTCTCCTCAACCACGACAAGCCCAGAGGTCAACCGGAAGTTGATTAAGTACGGTACTTCTCCAGAAGAACAATCCTTGCTGTCCAACTACATCAACAAAGCCAAGCAGCTTGAGATCACCACCAAAGTTCAGCAACCATTGGGGTATGAGCCATCTCCCATATTATGTTCATTGAGGTCAACCAGCCCTATGAACACAATGCAACAGAAGGCATCTCACAAGAACCCAGACTATCCTGGCAATGGTACTCACAATATCTCACTTGTAGGTCACCCAGAGCCAAGCTCCAATAACTCGCAAGAAAGACAACACGGAGATGGTCAAAGGAATATCTTCGCCAAACCGTATCCTTATGATCTACCGGACGGAGACGCAGATCGAGAGCATAAGGAGACTTCTGCTGGCGATGCCAAACTGATCGTTTCACCATCATCATCTTCACCCCTTCTTCATCTGAGGGATTTGTCTTCACCTGGAATGACACTGAGCGATGGAACACTGTGCGTCGACATCCCCAGACCAGTGGTGTCCACCGTTAGGAAAAGCTTTGTCGTTCCTGCCCCTAAAAAGGGCGAAGTGGCCACCCAGAAACTCCGCGCCAAGCCAGGTCACATCAAACACCAATACCACGAGTCTCAGAAACGATTGCTCCAGACCCGCAAGCGATACCAGGAAGAAGTCAACGCTGCCCTGATGATCCAAGCCGCCTGGAAGGGCTACCTGATCAGGGCCGAGATCCGGAAGCAGTCGGAGGCCGCCATCAAGATCCAAGCGGCGTACCGCGGCTACCAGATCAGGAAGTTTCTGACCGAAGGCATCAGCGAGGACGAGATCGACGAACTGAACACGGGCGGAGACGGCAACTGGCAGTACTCCGAACACCCAGACGTCTTCCTGGAGGAGATCTCGCACAGCGACTACACCGAGAGCGACGCGGAGTCGACCGACGACTGGATGGAGTCGCCCATGAGCACGATAGCCTGCAGCCCGGGCAGCTACGGCCACGAGGGGCAGCTCGAAGAGGACGGGGTGGCCAACCTGTGCTGCGCCAACCCCCTGCTCCAATACGAAAGTGTTTACCACTCGCAGAATTGTACCTGGGGAGGGATATAAGGGGACTTCTCCTTTTCTAAAAGATATGCCACTTTTTTTTTTAAACCGTTAAGCAGCGTTCGAACAAAACACAATACAAAACCCAGAGGTATGAGCTTTCAATAAAAAAAAACCCTTAAATACAGAGATTGGGGGCGGTTCGAAGCGTTCCTTTATTTTTTTGGGGGGGGGTTGGGGGGTGGGGTGGGGGTGGGGTGGGGGGGGGGGGTGGGGGTGGGGGGGTTCGCGGATGGGGGGGTTATATCTAAATCAGGAAGAGCTTTGAGCACCATCAGTTGGAGGGGGCGTCTGCTCAGATTTCCTGTGTGTTTTACTAAGCGCTTTGAGGCGTCCTGAAGCGCTTCACAGGCGGTGTAGTGCAGTGTAGTGACTGTCTATTTTGGGTGCGAAACGAGCACTTGTGTCCAGGTCGTCAAACCATTGCCACCCACACCCCCCCCCACCCGCCAAACCTCACCCCCCCACCCCCCCCACCCCCAAACCTCACCCCCCCACCCCCCCCACCCCCAAACCTCACCCCCCCCCCCCCCCCCCCCCCCCAAACCTCACCCCCCCCCCCCCCCCCCCCCCCCCCCCCCCCCCCCCCCCCCCCCCCCCCCCCCCCCCCCCCCCCCCCCCCCCCCCCCCCCCCCCCCCCCCCCCCCCCACCCCAACTCACCCCCCACCCCTCCCTACCCCCCAAACCTCACCCCCCCACCCCCCCTCCACCCGCCAAACCTCACCCCCCCACCCCCCAACCTCACCCCCCACCCCCTCCCTACCCCCCAAACCTCACCCCCCCCCCCCACCCCCAAACCTCACCCCCCACCCTCTCCCTACCCCCCAAAGCTCACCCCCTCCCACCCCCCAAACCTCACCCCCCCCCCCCCCACCCCCCAAACCTCACCCCCAACCCACCAAACTTCACCCCCCCCCCCTCCCCCCACACCCCCCCACAAAGAAAAGGTTTATTTATGGGGCGTTGCGCGCCCTCCAGCGGTGGGTGTGAGTCACTGCGCCCTCCGGTGGTCAGAGTGAGTCGCTGCGTCAGTGATGGTGAGCGGCTGCGGGAGGAGGACACTGCGCCCTCTGTCGGCGGCGGCGGCGGGAGGACCGGGGGGCGGGGCCGGGGGGGGGGCAGGGCGGGGGGGGGGGGGCCGGGGCGGGGCCGGGGCGGGGCCGGGGGGGGCGGGGCCGGGGGGGGGGGGCTGTTGCATTATGGCGCCGGGACAGGGGAGTGGGTGATCTCCTGCCCTCTCCCCCCCCCCCCGGCCCTGCCCTCCCCCCTCCTCCCCCCGGGGTGTGGCGCGGGGCCCCGCGGTCACTGCTGTGGGACAGGCCCCGGGGGGGGGCAGGGCCGGGGGGGGGGAGGGGGCGGAGGGGAGAAAGGGGTTAAACAATCAACAAAACAGAACCCCCTCCAAAGAGAAGTTGAGACTTTTAGAAAAATTCCGGAACTATTGACCGTCACAGGTGAGGAATAGAGGGGGTGAGAGGGGGGGGGCACTGTGGGGGGGTGGGGGAGGGGCTGAGGGGGTGGGGAGGGGCTGTGGGGGAGGTGGAGGAGGCGGTTGGGTGGGGGTGCGGGAGGGGTTGGGTGGGGGAGGGGTTGGGTGCGGGAGGGGTGGGGGAGGGGGTGCGGGAGGGGTGGGGGAGGGGTGGGGGAGGGGGTGCGGGAGGGGTGGGGGAGGGGGTGCGGGAGGGGTGGGGGAGGGGTTGGGTGGGGGAGGGGGTGGGGAGGGGTTGGGTGGGGGAGGGGTGCGGGAGGGTGGGTGGGGGGGGGTGGGGTGGGGTGGGGTGCGGGAGGGGTGGGGTGGGGGAGGGGTTGGGTGGGGAGGGGTTGGGTGGGGAGGGGGTGCGGGAGGGGTTGGGTGGGGGAGGGGGTGCGGGAGGGTTGGGGGGGAGGGGGTGCGGGAGGGGTTGGGTGGGGGAGGGGGTGCGGGAGGGGTTGGGTGGGGGTGGGGAACGCTGGCTGTGCTGTTGGGGGGAGCTGTTGTATCTGACTCCCTGACCTTCCCCCCCCCCCCCCCCCCTGAACCCGTGTGTTTCCTGTCTCAGTGCCTCTCATTGCCGCTGGTGGACATGACCTCGGGGCGGGGGCGGAGGTGGGGGCGGGGCCCGGGGACGGCAGACCCCCCCCTGGGGACCTGCGGCCACATGTGCCCCGAGCGAGAGCGGACGGACCGCGAGAGGCAGAGGAGGCTGCACAGGTTTGAGGTGCTGAGCGGCACCGAGAGAGACTCGCTGCCCGCGGCCGACCCCCAGAAAGCGGTCAAAGAATACTCCAGACCCGCCGCGGGGCGGGAGACCCCCCGGCCCGAGGACCTGCGGCCACCGGACGTCTTGTTCCAAACGGTCGCGTACCTGGTGGACCGGGTCGTTCCCCGGCAGGACGTCTGCTGGGGCGAAGTCTACGGCTACGTGTTTGACCGGCTGCGGAGCGTGAGGCAGGACATGACCGTCCAGCGGATCGGCGGCAAGCTCTGCGTGGCCGTCCTGGAGAGGACACTGCGCTTCCTGCTCTACGCCTCGTACCGGCTGCGCGGGGAGCCCCCGCAGGTCTTCGACCCCGACATCAACAGCGTGCACACCCAGGAGTGCTTCAGCTGGCTCCTGGAGACCTACAGGCTCGGAGACTACGACAGCGAAGCCGAGTTCCAGTCGCTCTTCATCCTGTACAATCTCGGTACGTGGGGGGAGGGGAGTGGGGGTTTGGGGGGGTGGAGGGAGTTGAGGGAGTTGAGGGAGGAGGTCGGTCGAAGGGGAAGGCCTTGAGTCGTGATGTCAAAGAGGGGAAGGAAGCTCTGCAATCGATCGTGCGGCGCCCGAGCTTCTCCGTCCCCCGCAGGGCAAAACTTCACAAAGTCAGGTGAGGTTTACGTAGGAACAGGAGGAGGCCATTCAGCCCTTCTTTCCAGCCTGTTCCGCCATTCTGTAAGATCACGGCTGATCTGTACCTCAGCTGCAGTTACCCGCCTTTGCCCCTTGATATCCCTCGATCCCCTGAACTAGCGAATACCCGCGGACGTTGTGGTTTGGGTTGTAATCAGCTGCTGTCAGTGATGTGCACTAATCCCAGTCCTGAGGCTCTCCTGTGTTTTTTCAGGATCAATGAAGGCCCTTCACTACGCCCTGTTACTGTCCGACCACATCCGGGACTCGCCGTGCATGAAGTCTGCACTCGCTGTAAACCGTGCCTTCACCGAGGGAAACTACGTCCGTTTTTTCCGGCTTTGCCGACGCCTGCCTTTCCTGGCCAGCTGTGCTCTGCACCGGCACATCGGGCATTCCCGGCGGTGCCTCATCCGGATATTCAGCCACGGATTCAGCAGCCGGAACTGCCGGTACCCGCTGGAGAGACTGGTGGACCTGCTGGCGGCGGATGACTGGGATTCGGTTGTCGAGCTCTGCCAGAAACACGGCGTCACGGTCACAAACAAGATGGTCGGTTTCCAGAAAGCGAATTACAAGGAGCTCGGACCCCTGAGCGACGGCCCCTCACATGTCCTTGTCGGCCATAAACAAGGAGACATTACGGTGTCCGCCATCATCCATGGGAACTGAAGCCTCTCTTTCTGTCTCTGTGTAACTTGTTCCTGTGTTCGTTTCTTCCCAAAACTTGCAACAGCAATTTACATTTATATACAGCAGTGCCTTTTATATTACCAACATTCATCCACAAGTACCTTCCAGGGAGAGTGTGTGTTGTGTGGGGGGTGGGGGGGTGGGTTCTGCATCTTAATGAAACAGATTTTTCTAACGTTGTGGGCACTGAAGCCAATGATTTAGTTCTTGGCCAAGAACGGTTGACTGGTCTCCTATGACCAAGCTTCAACTTAGATCTCTCTGTTGTGCGTCTCAGTCCCACGTTGAATTGCATTGCATTTCCTCACAACCATCGGGATCGGGGTGGGGGGGGGGGGTTGGGTGCGGGGGAGAGGGTTGGGGGCTCAATCTCCTATGAAATCTGTTCATCTTGTTTGTTATCCAGTTTCGTTTCCGATGTTACTTCTCAGGAAGGAAAGTATTAAGGCAGTGTCAAAGCTGAACTTGGGTCCTGTCTGTGTGTCATTATGTCACTGAACGTACTTTGTAAATGTTCTTGAAACGTTGAATTGAAAGAATAAATGGAGGAATGGAAGATACGTGGACTGTTTGGTCTGAATGGCTGCTTCTGAGGCTCTCCGTGTAACTCAACGTCTGACTGTTCAAGTAGTTGTGGACCTGTACCTTCTTGTGGTTCAATACCTATATTCACCACGAGGCTGCACTGTCTCCCTACAAACTAGTGTAGGAGGTGAGTGGTGTGTTGTTTAATGTTTTATGGTCTTGTGCTTTTCATTAGAGCAAGGTATTTCTGTGAGATTAAGTGTTGCTTGTTCTTCAGGTGGATGTTTAAAGATCCCATGGCATGACAGTATTGCAGAAGAGAAGGGAGATTCTCCCAGTGTCATCAGACCTCCAGGTAAATATGACACGGTGTGGGACTTTGCTGTTCACAAAATGGCTCTTGAGTTTGCCTTCGAATACAGGCATTCATCACACTTCAGTAATGATTGGGTGCCACTTTGAGGACTTTTGATGTGATGGAGCGCTGCAGGAGAAAAGTGCCAGTTGATTTTTTCTTCCTCGACACGCTGCAAGAGAGATGTGGTCTTCGTTGAGAGACGAGAAAAGAGGTGTGTTGATCTCAGCCACAGTGTATGTGTGTGTGTGGTGGAGGGGTGGGGGTGGTGTGGGTGTATGGGAGCAGGGGTGGCAGTTGAAGTGCTGCAATTGTACTTGTGTCCTTGAGGTAAGGAGGGGAATAACGCGCTGTGAGCGTGAGCGTGGACATGGAGCAAGCACGGGATTGGGTTCTCCTGTCATGTCCCCGCAGTTGGTTAACCTGTAGATGCCCCACAGAAGAACAACAAACTCCTAAAGACCATTGAGCTGTGGTAGGGGAATCTGCCAGCGCTCATTGGAACCCTTCCCCACCCCAACCGTGCCTTGGTGCCTTCAGAGAAGAAACCCTTGGAGGACGGAGGGGGAGAATCAACAAATATGACCCAGAAAGTATAAATGGGCCGAGGTACAAATAGTACAAATGGTTTGTTTTTACAAGCAGCCTTTGGTTCAAGCATTACATTTCCTGGCAGCCCCGATCTTTATTCATTGAGGTGGATCCGTGCCACACAATGACATACAGTCAGAGGTGATTGTAAATTTAACTATTAGCTGAATAGAGTGCCTACAATTCACCTGGATCAACTGAAGTTGCTTTTGGGAAAGCCTTTGATTGTCCTGCCAATTCTCAGACTCGCATGTCTGGCCCATCACCGCCATAAACCGTGTGATTAGCCACGTGTGGCTCTTTGCTGGTCCTTGGTTTACAATTTGGAAAGGTTTGTGGGGCAGAACCAAGTTGGCAGAAGCCGGCCATTTTCTGACTGCGTAAGATGAGCCCAAACAGAGCCCTCTTGTTACAATGGAATAACAGCCCAGATGGAGTGCAAACGGGTATATTTGTGTGTGTGATAATCTTTCACGTGTCCGCTAAAGTGTCTGCCAACAGAACTCTTGCTTCGGGGTCAGAGAGTTGTGAGTTCGAGTCCCAAGTCACGTCCAGGTTGACTGTCCAGGGCCTTGGGACGTCCTCCCGATGTGAAAGGCGCTATATAAATGCAATTTGTGGTTATGGTTGAACTCTGCTATGGATCAGTTGTTCCACCATGGAAGGGAAGTCCCATTTCTCTGCAATGTATCTTGTCCACACGTCCCTCTCGAGTGACACCCATCATGTCATGGTGTCTGAGCTCGGCTGGTGCAAATGTTGTACGATAGTTATCTGAAAACGGAAAGCAACAAGGGCTGATTAAACCCCAGTCTTTAGCCCCAGATGTTCCTTTACCTCACATCGAGGCCCGACATGCGGCAATTGGTAACACGGCTCGTAAATAATGACTCCCACTGGTGACCGGAAGGAGGACATGCTCAGGATAACCCAAGCTGGATCGCGTCGGGGCGATTTCCTGCGGGTCAACGTGATGCACTTCCTGCTGGTCACAAATTCCAGCGTATTAACCACTAAACAATGTTCTCTAACATCCTGGGGGAAGGGTGGGGGGGTTAGGTGGTGGCGGAAGTTGGTGGGGGTTCGAGGGGGGGGGGGGGAATGTAAATGATTGAGTATTTTAAGTGTGTTTGCACGGTTCAGGCAACGTGACATGAGACAAAGGGAATTTGGTCGGTTGTGGCAATTATTCTGTAGAGGGGGAACAGCATTGCATATGCATTGCTATTGGGGTGGGGGTAAGGGGTTTGGAGGCAGATGTTTTATAGGTTTATGGACTACTTAGTAGAGATTATACTAACTTTTCGGTAAGTGGTGCTGCCGGCATCAGCAAAATGTTATATATATATATATATATGTATGTATGTTAAAAAAAAATGTGAAATTAAAGCTTTAGCTTAAAATAACTTTCTCTCTCCCCCCCCCCCCCCCCACCCACCACCATCCTGCCTTAAGGTTTTGCGGTCAAGGAAAAATGTTACTGGAAGAGAGTTAATTATCCACTTCCTCTTTTCTACAAACTTATTGAACTCATCTGTAGGCAGCACATTGAGGACCTGTGCAACCAATCACGATAATTTACATTGCTGTGGAAACGCTACATCAGAAATCACTTCCAGAGGTCACCCCACGTGGTCTATTGAGTTATGGCTCGGTCTCTCCTGCATCTCATCTGGGTCCTTGTTTGGGAAAGGCGGCTCTGACTCTTTGGTTTCTTCTTCTTCGTTTGGCTTCTTCCTCTATACTCTCTTGCTCCCTCCCTCCGCTTTGCTCCCTCCCTCCTTCTTCTCGAGCGCCAGGTTGGGCGTGAAAGTCGTGGCCCTACAATGGAACCTACCTGAAGGCCTATTGGCGATGTGAAAGGGGCTCTACAAATGTAATTTTATATTGTGTGTTGACAATACAAGTCAATGTTTCTTCTCTCTCCCTCCCACCCACCCTCCCTCCCTCCCCCAGTCTTGTTCAGAGATTCTCCAACACGGCTAATGGTTCAGTTCCTTCCCCACCATCACATGGACCGTAAGCTTCTGACCTCAGGATTAAGCTAATTTAGTTGCCGCTGTTCATTATAATACAGTTTTTTTTTAGAACCACTAAATAATGTCAGATGTCGACAACGCTGAGGTTTGAACCTTATTTGTTCAACACTGCGTTTGCTTCCCAGCGGAGTGGCAGAGGCGGAAGGTAAAAATTGGGAACTTTTCTAGGACGCAATTATGTCGTAGCTCTTCATCAGCGTCAGAGTGGGTTGTGGGGGGGGGTTGGGGTGGAGTTAGAGGGAGTTTGTTGGGGGAGTTGGTGGAGGAGGAAAAGCGAGTTGTCATTTTATTGAGTGTTGTGTCAGTGTCTACACAAAGTCCTGTTACTCCCCCGTTACAAAACAGCGATACAAGACTACGGAGGAGCTGAAATACGCTGCCAGAGGTGCATTGCGCCTCCTCACTCCATCCAGCCATGTTACAGAAGATGTGACATACAACATGGCGACAGATCATTACCAGCCATGAAAATTATGGCCCTCCCCCTCCCTCTCTCTCTCTCTCTCTCTCTCTCTCACACAAACATGGACCCTCTGGATGTTTAACTACGGTTAAACACTTGTACCGAATACAACTAATTACTTCCAAACACAATTATCATTATTCTTCCACGTGTTTCCGTTGTTGGGAGTAAGTTTAAAAAAAAACGCACGTGGGGGGGGGGGGGGGGGTAACCAGTCTTTGTGGACACATTTAATGGTGTAATTGGTGATGGAGGGAGAAGGGATTATCGATACGTGCTTCCAAACAAAAAAATGAGGTGCCGGTCATAGAATTAGAGACAAATGCCACTGGTGTACAAATGTTGATGAGTGTTTTAGTGAGAGTTACCAAAGCCCCATGTAGTTTGCACAGAGGAGTTGGCATGGATCTTGAAAAAGTAGGTCATGCTTCACAACCCTCCTGCTATTGTTTGAGGAAGTAGCTAAATTAATGGGCAATGGCTCTGCGTGTAATGTACTGTGCCTGGGTTTTGAGGAGACATTTAATGTTATTTAATATTATTAGGCTGGACTGAGATTCGCTAATAGAAAACAGAAGGTGACAATAGTTCGTAAAGTTCCACTCGCGCCTGTTCTTTATCCTCTGCCGCTGACATATAACATGGACGATAGCTGGTGATATTATAAAATGTTAGCGTAATAATAATAATAATAACCCTTGCATTTGATATAGCGTCGTCACTTCTTCAAGGGGTCTCAGAGCGCTTCACAGAATACACTGTAAAGTGATTTGACCGCAAATGATGACAGAAAGGTATCCAGACAGGTGACGGGGAGGGGGCTGGGTGGGGGGGGGGGGGGGGTTAGGAGAAGGGGGAGAGAGGTTGAAAGATTTCAAGCAGACAAGTTGTGTTTGGTCTGGTGACCAATAGATGGATTTTGATTATTATTATCCCCAGGAAAGCAATCCGCCAATCGACTTAACAACTGGGTTCCTACTTACTGTTAGATAAGCGGAGGCGTGTGTGGAGGAGTAAGGAAACCTGCCTGAGGTTTCGCCCCGCCTGAAATGTCAGAGCATTGCGCTTGAATCCGTGGTATTAGTGGAGTCCTGTAGCTCAGTGGTTAGAGCACTCGCTTTGCAAGTGAGAGACCTGAGTTCAATTCCAGAGGGCGAAACCTTGGGCAAGTTTCCTTACTCCACACAGAGCCTAATAATAAACCTCCAAAAAAAAAACAATAATAAATTGGTCATTTTCAATCTACGACACTTTGTGGGACATTGCTGTGCGCAATTGGCTGCCGCGTTCGCCCTCAAATATACAGTCAATTCACTTTACAGTGTGTTCTGTGAAGCGCTTTGGGACGTCCTCCCGACGTGAAAAGTGCTATATCAAATGCAAGGATTATTATTATTATTATTATTATTATTATTAGCGATGGTATTTACATAGTTCCAGGGCAAAAAATATCAGTGCAACCTTCCCATCAGAGTCAGATATCCCCTTGAATATCCTCCCACGTGTCATTCAAGTAAGTGTTTCCACTTCGCAGCTAAGGTGCCAGGTCTACCCCCCCCCCCCCCCCCCCTCGGTAAGATTGCAGAAATAAAACTTATCGAATTAAGAGGAGGGACCCATTCAATATTAGATGCGGCGTTTCAGCTGAGGTTCGACTTTGAATCAGTCAGCGGGACTTTGGAAGTCCATGTTAATTTGAGTCGAGACTTCTTTGGTCGGTAGCTTAGAAGTCGAGCACCGAAGTTGTGCGCAAAACTTTTTTGTGCGGTTTTGGCAACTTATGTTGACTTCAAGTCGTTTTTATATTTGGTGTGTGTGTAAAAAAAAATGTCTTTGATGTCTCTCTTTGCTACCCCTTCAATGCTCTCTCTCTCTCTCTCTCTTTCTCTGTCAGCTCTTTGCAACCTATAGGAGGAGATATCCTTCCTATCCAACCAGACTAAACCAGAGAGAGAGAGGGAGAGAGAGAGAAAGAGGGAGCCAGAGAGAGAGAGAGAGAGAGAGATTTACAGAAACAAAAAAGTTACTACATCAAAGCAAAGAAAAAAAAGTTTGTGGCTTTTTTTAAAAAAAAACCCCAAAAAACAGAGAGAAGTCGATTTTTTTTCCCCCCAAAGTAGGAAAGTGAGTGACTTGAGATTTCCAGCAAACTTCAGTCTGAATAAAAGGGAGTTTCACATCTTATTACCAGGGAGAGAGAGAGGGGGAGGAGGGGGAGAGAGAGAGAGAGAGAGGGGGGGAGGGGGGGGGAGAGAGAGAGAGAGAGGGGGGGAGGAGGGGGGGGGAGAGAGAGAGAGGAGGGGGAGGAGAGAGAGAGAGGGGGGGAAGAGAGAGAGAGAGGAAGAGGGGGGGTGGGGAGAGAAAGAGGGGGGAGAGAGAGAGTGGGGGGAAGAAAGAGAGGAAGAGGGGAGTGGGAAGAGAAAGGGGGGAGAGAGAAAGAGGGGGAGGGAGAGGAGGAGGGGAGGTGGGGAGAGAAAGGGGGGAAGAGAGAAAGGGGGGAAGAGAGAAAGAGAGAGAGGGGGAGAGGGGGTGAACTTTAACAGTTAAGAAACTTGGCAGAGACTTGAGGAACAAGGACCAGTCCCTCAGACTGTAGGACTGGAGGAAAGTGCCTGGAAAGGCTCCGAAGAAAAACCTTCCAATGGCTCATACACCACTGGGGCTGTGAAGGAAGGAGAGGGGGATTTTGTTTTATAAAAAGAAGCCTCCGAAGTAGATCTTTCCCCCCTCCCCTCTCCCCCCCTCTCCCCCCCTCTCTCTCTCTCCCCCTCCCTCCCTCCCTCCTTCCCTGTTTCTCAGCAATTTTGGGGAAGAACTTCCTTGGAAATGCATCAAATCAGGCACTTCTGTTGGATTTTGTACAGTTTTGCCTCTTGTTTCTGTTGCATCTGTTCCTGTGCTCAGCAAAGACAGTAAGTATTGTGTGAGTGAGTGTGAGTGAGTGTGCAAGTGCGTGTGTGAGTGTGTGTGTGTGTGCAAGTGTGTGTGTGAGTGAGTGTGTAAGTGTGTGTGTGTGAGTGAGTGTGTAAGTGTGTGTGTGAGTGTGAGTGAGTGTGCAAGTGTGTGTGTGTGAGTGAGTGTGCAAGTGTGTGTGTGAGTGTGTGTTGTCTCTCTCGCTCGTTTGAATCGACTTTACTTTAAAGATCCTCTGACTGCAAAGCAAAAGCACACGTTGTGTGAGTGTTTTTTTTTGTGTGCGTGTGTGTGTGTCTGTGAGTGTGAGAGTGATTTGAGTGAGTGTGAGAGTGAGTGAGAGTACGTGTGAGAGAGTGAGTGTGAGAGAAAGAGAGTGGGTGTGAGTGTGTGAGAATGAGAGTGTGAGTGAGTGAGTGTGAGAGTGATTGAGTGAGTGTGAGAGTGAGTGAGAGTGAGTTTGAGAGAAAGAGAGTGGGTGTGAGTGTGTGAGAATGAGAGTGTGAGTGAGTGAGTGTGAGAGTGATTGAGTAAGTGTGAGAGAGAGTGAGTGTAAGTGTGAGTGAGTGAGTGAGAGAGTGAGTAAGTGAGTGTGAGAGAGTGTGAGATTGAGTGAGTGAGTGAGTGTGAGAGTGTGAGATTGAGTGAGTGAGTGTGAGAGTGATTGAGTGAGTGTGAGAGTGATTGAGTGAGTGTGTGAGAGTGAGTGAGAGAGAGTGAGTGTAAGTGAGAGAGTGAGTAAGTGAGTGTGAGAGAGTGTGAGATTGAGTGAGGCAGTGAGTGAGTGAGTGAGTGAGTGTGAGAACGAGAGAGTGAGTGAGAGAATGAGAGCGCGAGCGAGTGTGAAAAAGTGTGAGTGAGTGTGCGTGAGTGTGTTGTGCCGAACGAGCTAACGACACAAGACCCCCCACCGCCCCCCACACCCACACACCTCTCTTGTCTTCTTGTTAGAGGTTATCTGATCGTTGCCCCTTCACTTTTCAAAGTGGGGGTAGAAGAAGTCATCAGTATAACGATATTTAATCCGGTGAAAGAAACCCGAGTGCAAGTTCAGCTCGTGGTGAAGGGCGAACCGGTGGCTCACAGTCAGGGAACAGTCTTGGGTCAGTTGCTGTCTGCGTTGGAACAGATTTCCAGTCACACAACTACCTTATAATAACATTACTGTAATAATAATAATACATAATAATAATATTTACATTACTAACTTCCAGTGGATTTGCACCGGTTACATTAACACAGCGCGTGACCGTTACTTATTATTTATTTCTTTCTTTGGTTTGTTTGTTTCTTTCTTTCTTTCTTTCTTTCTTTCTTTCCTCGTTTGTTTGTTTGTTTGTCTGTTTGCGTGTGTTGCAAAGTCCCAATTCCATTTGCTTTCAATGTGTGCGCCTGTGCTTTAAGAAAAGGATTTTGTGTATAAAGAAATATTTATAATTCCCACTGCTTTATATCCTTTTTTTTCTCCCCACCACCACCACCAGAAAAGGGAACAGTCAAGTTAAAGGTAAGGTTGTATTCTTTTTGCATTCGCCCCCCCGACCCACCCTCACTCCCCCTCCCTCCTCCCCCCCCCCCCAAAAAAAAAAGAGTCCTCTTTAAGATTAAAAATTAGTTTTAATTGGAGTGAAATTGACAAGTTTTTGAAGATGAAATTGAAGTTCTCCCTCTCTCTCTTTCGCTGTGTCCCTCTCTCCCCCCCTCCCGCCCCCCCCACACACACTTTTTGAGTATTTTTTAAATGTATATATATATGTTATATATATATAAGGCCGAGTTTGCCCAAAAAAGCCATTGATCCCCCAAACGAGAAGCCGTTGATCTCTCCTACTCAGAGTGAGGGACTTCCTTTAGGAACACCTCCATTTGCTGAGTTCCACTTTGATGGCTATTTAGTCAGAATCCACTCCTCCCAACAGTCCAGTCCAGCGCTGATGTATGTTGTATGTTCAATGGAAGTGTGTGTGTTTGGGGGGGGGGGGAAACTGGGATGACAAGACATCCAGCTGGCTTCCCCCCCCTCCCTCCCCAAAACACGCACACACACACACGTGCGTGGTCCTCACATCCAACTTGCAACCAAAGTGTCCACTGACCCCCACCCTGACTTTCTGTGAAGTTGCAATGTGAAGTATTCCCGGCTTGCGGTCGGTCGGTGCCCTTTTTTTTTGTGTGTGACGCGAGGCATGGCGGCTTTCGCCCACAAAATACACAGTCACTCCCACTTCTTCAGCGTATCCCGTGATGCGCTTTGCAGTGTCTCGACGCCGTATCACAGGCGAGGATTATTATTTATTATTATTGTTGTCATTAGTTCAGCAAAGCAAATTTAAGTTTGACGAAGAAATCCGCTGTAATCCTTCAGGATATTTGATGAGATTCACAGGATTGTTTTGTACTGTTACGTGTGTACGAGAGAAAGCGAGTGAGGAGTTACCTCTCTCTCCCACCCCCACCCCCCCCCCCTCCCTATTGCTCATTGATATTACACTGCGCTGTGTTTGTCACCAGTACTTGCGTTGAGACTGAAATGATCAGGGATTAATGAATCTTACTGCCTTACACACAGTGCCCTGTGCTCAGGGAAAACAGATCACCCGCAAATGTGTGTTTAAACCCGCTGCCTGTTTTCTGCTGACGTGAGGATTATAAACAGGAGCTGAGAACTGATTGAAGTTTTTTTGGGAAAAAACTTCACTTTGTCTCGTCTGGGGCCTGTGTAAAGCTGAATTGGTGTGAGATGGGCTTCTTAAGAATTGTTCCCGAGTCCAAACTGTAGTGAGACCGGGTTAGGGTTACTGTGTACATTAAAAGTGACTCTCGGAGTGTGGTCGGTGGAAGTGGCCACTGGAATTACATTGACCTCACAATGTCCCATCCAGATCAGCTTCCAACAGTCTCTCCTCCCCGAACATCCACAACACACAATACATGTCCCAAGGCGTTGGGACGGTCAGGGATTTGGACCTGACCTGGGGGTTGGGATCAGGAGGGGTGGAGGGCAGGGAGGGTGGGGGTAGGAGGGTGACCGAAGGCACGGTCGAAGAAGGGGGTCTTGAGACGGGTCTGGCACTTGCGAAAACAGTGCGTCTCCCGCTCGTGCCAGCAAACCACAGCTGCAACATTGCAATTCACTTCGCAGGTCCAATGGTATCGCAGTGGGAATGAAAAAGAAAGTGACCCTTAATTCAATGTGTACGATAAACAGACAATAGAATCTTCTTCAACCCATTGTATTACGTTTGCAGTGAGATGTGATCGGGGTGTGTGTGTGTGTGTGTGTGTATGGAGGGTGGGGGAAGGAGGGAGACCGAAGGTATTGTATTGTACCTCGGTATTACAATCTCAGGTTGTATTATTATCTCAAACTGGTGTTACAACATCATCAACAACAACAACATTGCGCCCTTCACACAGGGCAGCGTCTCGGAACGCTTAAAGGCTTTGGTTAATCTCTATATTGTTTCTTTCTCTCGCCAGGTTCCCTCAGGGCTCCGGGGACAGGCACATCTGAAGGTGTGGGGTAACCGGCACCTGACAGATGATGGCTATATTTTCCACAATTTCACGACTGTAACGATCGACGCGAAGGGGTCGTCCGTGTTTATCCAAACAGACAAACCCGTCTACAAACCCTCGCAGAAAGGTACGCTGGCTTCCTCTTACCTCGGGTTACCCGGCAGTAAGTAGGAACCTGATTGTTAGTCGATTGGCGGATGGCTTTTCCGGAGGTAATAATCACTTCAAAAGTTTTTCTTTAAAAAAAAATAATAATTTGGTCACTCAATCCACGACTGTTTTGTGGGACGCTGCTGTGCGCAATTGGCTGTCGCGTTTCGCCCACAAAATATAGTCGATTCACTTTACAGTATATCCTGTGAAGCGCTTTGAGACGTCTCGAAGACCTGATAAGGCGCCGTATCAAATGCGAGGATTATTATTATACTTTAAAATGAGTTTACCCAAAAATCTGCACACCAGGTGTTGAGCCAGAGCCTCTCAGTTAACATAGCACATGTTCTGTGACCTGGATTTGAACCAAGGTGTCAGATACGAAAGGACAGGAGCTAATCCAAGGCTACTCACTCAGCCTCCCGCCCAGTCCTCTCAGTCCCAGTTATGTCAGTGCCGGGAGCACCTGCTGAAACCCGTTCACTGTAATTCAGGTGGAATTAACAAATGAACCATCTTCCTGGAACATTTTTGTTTGAATGACTGCTGTCTTTCCTCCTCTCCGCACTCAGTTCTCGTCAATGTATTCACCGTCACTCCGGACCTTCGACCCGCCAATGAGAAGGTAAGATCGGGAGAGCTTTGGGCTCCGCAAGTCCCTGGATTTGGTTTCGGGGCTGTGGGGCTAAGAGGAGATTCCTTTGTGCTGCTCTCTCAAACCCCCGCTGCTCACGGTAACGCTGAAACTGATGCTTCAAACTCGAGGGACAGCACCTCTGACAATCCAGTAATCTCTCAGAAATGCACTGGAGCCTTGACAGTATGGCTCACAGTTGCTCTCCGTCCACGCTGGCTCCGTGCTGCTTTGGGGCAATGCCTTAGCCTCTATGTATGTGTGCGCGTGTGCATACAGTGATTGAGGGTTGGGGGTCGAGAGTAGAAACCTGTATGGAAGGCAGGCTTATGTCCCCTTGATAAAACGGCTTCCCCATTGCTTCAATCCTGGTCTAGAAACTGTACAGCAATCTAACCCCTCTCTCCCCGGAGATCACTTATGTATTCCTGTATAATGGATGTCCGGAATACAAATTGAGTTCCTGGATATGTCAGTAATGGTGGCAGCTGCTGCAGATTACCGCAGGCTCCTTTACAGACAGCTTGAGGCCAGCGTCCAGTTGAGAAACCGGGTATTACAATGGGCATTTTTCCAAACAGCATTCCAACATGTCATCTGGTTTCTTATGGAATGTCAGTCTCGGGGATGTGTTTCACTGACTCTTTCCAGGCTAGGCTTTTTTTTTTCTTTTTACACACAGTAAAACTTACATAAGTCTGATCTGTATAACTCGTATAATACTCCTAAGTCGTACCTCTATTTCGCCCACAAAACATACAGTCAATTCACTTTACAGTATATGTTGTGAAGCGCTTTGGAGACCTGATTAAGGCACTACATCAAATGCAACGATTATTATTATTACATCTGCTCCAAATCCCGTTCAAGGGTTTATATTCTATTCAAGTTTGACATGACTTGTACATTGCAGAAGTCGTATTAAATGTATGGTCCCAACTGAGATGACTTATGAGAGGTTTACTTTATGTGTGTGTATATATATACATATTTTACCATTCAGAAATCGAAAGTCAATTTCAGTTCCTGTCAAAAACAAAGGGTTTGTGGAGCGGTGGTAATTTCGACCCCAAGAAAATGTTGAATGGGCATTTTTGTTGTGCGTTCCTTTGTGGAGAGAAGATGGTTTGTCCCTTCTCAATGGCAATGGAAAGCTGACTTTCTGCCCTGAGTCTGTGCGCAACAGAGTGGAACGATGTGGGATGACATCTTTTTCCTCCCCACCCCACCCCCTCCAAACACTGCCCCCATATCTCTCCCCCAACCCCCCCACCACGCCCCACACACAGACAGACACATATCCTCCTCCTTTGCAACTCACACGTTTCAGATCCAAGCAAGGACCAAACTAAATGGGGGGAGAGTTTCAGATTAGTCAGTCAGTCAGTTGTCCCGCATCACTCTCAGGTTGGTTGAGTTAATACGTCAGAAGGTTCTTTGAGCTCATTGTCTACTCTGACACTCCAGGGTAGTGCTGGGGGGGGAGGGGAACGCTGTACTGTGGGAGGCGCCATCCTTCGGATAGACTTTAAGCCAAGGTGCCTTGTGCCAGTTCCAGTGGATGTTAAAGATCCTGTGGCGCTATTCAAAAAAGGGAATTTTTCCTGACATTTCACCCACATTCCTTCAAATAAAATTGGTAGTACACTTTGTTGCTGTTAGTGGGGCATTGCTATGCACAAATTCAATGCCGCATTCACCTCCAAACTACAGTCGCGGCATTTTACAGTAAATTGGTAAGCCTAGAGGGCGCCTTGTTTGGGGATTTATACATGTAATTAAAGGTTTACTAGTGTTGGCGATTGGCGGGCGATGAATGCCAGTGAGTTACATTGAAGTGCCGTGTTTGTTGCAAAGGCAACGTCTTTGATCTGTGCCAACATCCCATAAATGTCAGTGAGATGAATAGCCAATTGAATCTGTTTTTACTGCGAATTTGGATGAAGGAGTAGAAGGGGTCAGGGCGCTGGGAGAGAGATCCATTTGGGAGTGAAATCAGGAGTGAAAGCAGTTCTACACCCATTGGCTAATGGGAATCTGGAACTCTTTCCCTCCCCCCCAAAAAAAGCTGTGGATTTATGGCTGGGTCCATTCACATTTTTGAGACTGAGGTGGACAGATATTTGTTAGATCAGGGGATCAAGGGATATGGGGCAAAGGCGGGTAAATTGAGTTGAGGTACAGATCAGTGATGATCTAACACAATGGCGGAACAGGCTTGAGTGGATGAATGGCCTCCTTCTGTTCCTTTGTTCCTATGACCTGCTATACTTCCAACTAGCGTCTTGGGATCTGTAGCGTTGACTCGAACCATCACGAGGACCTGGGTTTAATGTCACCTCCGACAGTGCAGCGGGTTTCCCCCAGTATTGTGCTGGAGTGTGGATGTGAACTCGAGCTCTGATGTGCTAAGGCGAGGGCCACGCATTGAGCCAAACCTAACCTCGTGATCGCAGACACTAACTCAGTGAGACTGTGAATTGAAAGCATGTGCTCACTTGGTAATGTCATGTTCCGCAGCAGGCATTTACTTACATTGTGCGGTGTGGACATTAAAACAGCGGCACAATTAGACTGAGAGCACCTCCCGATACTGTGTTCATCTGTTTATCTCTGATTTTTTTCTCTCTCCCTCTCTTCTGCAGCTTGAAGCTTACATTGTGGTAAGTAGCTTGTGATAATATTAACAAGGACATTCATTCTCTTAGCAGAGGGTGAATGTCTCTGAGCGCTTTGCAGCCACGATAGGAAACGCTGGCCCAGGGAGGAGGGGAGGGGAAAAATCAGGGAGTGAACCAAAGGTATGCTCAAAGAAATGTTGAGGATGTTTTTGAAGCAGGGAGAGGAGGAACGAGGCTGTTTTTTCAGGCAGTGAACGTCTCCAAATCCTGGGTTGGATCTGAAGCCATGGTCTTGCCTCTAACCCGATAATATCTACAACAACTTGCATTTATATAGCGCCCTTCACAGTGTCTCAGAGGGTTTAACCCAGAGCACCACCATCCAGTCACCTCAAGTCTGGACCTGGGACAGTCAGTGACGTGTTACAAACATGTGGTTAAAAGTTGAGTGTTGGCGAACAGGTTATGTTAAGTGCGGTGGGTTATCACAGCAATAACAACAAATTACATTTGCTTGGCGCCTTTCATGTTGGGAGGACGTCCCAAAGCGCTGACAGGCGGACAATCTGCTCAGGTTGTCTTTAAAACGGCCGCCTGCCCAATACATGAAACCCATGTAATTCATGAAAGCCTTGGTGCTGAGAAAGATTGGCGAGTTCCAACAAGAAACAGCACGGTAACAGCAGGAGAAGGTGACAGTAAGCAAGAAAGCCCAGTTAATTCCAGTTTCTCATTCCCAGGATCCACGAGGCTCCCGGATGATCCAGTGGAACGAACTGAAGCCCGTTTGCTGTGGTGAGTGTTTGGGAAAGAAGGAAACTTGCCATCAGAGGAGTGTTCGCCTTTAGCAGAACAAGTCCCGGCCTCTCGTCTTTAATTGGGAAGATTGTTTCAGTTAGTTCGCAAGTGATTCTTCTTCTTATTAAGTGTTTCCCCCTCAAAATATTCAGTCAATTCCCTTTCCAGTATATCCTTTGAAGAGCTTTGAGACGTCTCGAAGATGAGATAAGGCATTATATCAAATGCAAAGATTATTATTGTTAAGTGTGGACGTTCCAAGTTGGATAGAAATTCTCCGGGATGAATGCAAACACTTCCAACAGCGACACAATTGATCGTGGGTGTCGAGGGGTTGGTGGGCAGAGGAGGGGAATGTGCACAAAATAAGTGTTTAACAGCTGTTGTGTTTTTCAGGTGTAGTAAACATGAGTTTCCCCCTCTCCGACCAGCCGGTATTTGGCGAGTGGATCCTTTTTGTTGAGATGCAGGGACACACGTACAACAAAACATTCGAAGTCCATAAATATGGTGAGTTGAGGGCAGAGCTCAGGGAAGAGTTCATCCCTGTTACAGCTTTTAGAATAAAACGGTCTTCAGTAGATGAGAGTTGCTGTAAGTGCTTAAGTCTCTGCCTGTTTCTCTCGCTCTCCCTGTGTGCTTGCTTAACTTTCTCTCCTTTATTAATAATTAATAATAATAATAATCCTTGCATTTGATATAGCACTGTATCACGTCATTGAGACGTCTCAAAGCGCTTCACAGAATTCCGTCTCCCTCTCTGTGTCTCTGTTCTCTTTCCTTTTTGCCTCTTCCTTTTCTCTCTCTCCTTACTCTCCCTGGTTCTGTTTCCCTCTCTCCTTCCCCCTCTCTTCCCTCTCTTCTATTGCTCTCTCTTTGTCTCTCTCTCTCTCTCTCCGTCTTCTGACTGTTTCTCTTTTCTCCCTGTTCCCTCTCTCTGTGCTGACATGGCCCGCTCTTTCGCTTCCTTCTGTGTGTACATCTCTCCCCTCCTCCCCCCATCTTTTTACTTCTTTTCTCTCTCTCTCCATCCTCTGGTTCCCTCCCTCCCTCCCCCTCCCTCCCACACCTCCCTGCACCTAGCTATAAACTGTTCCAACTGAACAGTACTTCCCTTACTAACCAGAATCTTCCAAAGAGCCTTTCAGAACCATCACCGCGTGTACATCATTGCTTCACTCTGTGCGGAAGCAATGGTGAAAGTCAAGCTGAAAGCAAACAAACATTCGTATGTAAGCAACTCATTCATCCCGAGCCTCAGGGAAATCCCTGCGTTTTGCAGGGAAACAAAATTAGCAGAAAATAGTGGCTGTAAAGAGAAATAAAGGGAGATACTAATCTACTAATCATTCGGCCCATCGTTCCTGTGCGGGCTCTTTGAAAGAGCTAGCCAACTAGTCCCACTCCCTTTGCTCTTAACCCCTTAGCCCTGCACATTTTCCTTTTTAAGTACCTATCTATTTCCCTTTTGAAAGCTGCTATCAAATCTGTTTCCACCAGCCTCTCAGACCGGAATCGAGCCTGTTCCCCTTCGCGCTCGCTCTTCCTACAATTAGTGCTGGAGCGCCAGCTTGGAAAGGGGGCTGTCAGCCAGAGTTCACGCTACTGAATGACTCTCTCATCTTCTCCCCTATTCTCCCATCTCCCCCGCCCCACCCCGTCGCCCTTCCGTTCTCCCCCCTTCCAACCCCCTTGTCCCCCCCCCACACACACACACACACAGACAAACACACAAGGAAAAGCTTCCACGTGCAACAGGCTAAATCCCAGCTGCTCTGACATGAACTGAACTCAAAAGTTTCTTGTGAATGACGTTGGTTGATGTTCCAGTGCGAAGTGGCCCGTTCCAAGACAAACAGCGCTTGGAGTAACATTTTTTTTCAATCAAACCCCTTGTTGTTTTGGCAGTGGCTCATCAACCCAAGAGAAACGGCCTGGTTTTAATTCATTTGGAAGCACGTTGCCCTGGAAACCAGATGCTGGTAGTTAAGGAAGGACTGATAAGCGGTCAAAAACAAAAGCAAGGCCTTTTCTGGTTGGTCGCGATGATGCTGGAACGTGGCCGTGGCTTGTTGTATATAGGGATGAGACCAATCTTCAGATTGGACCGTCCGCATTAAAGGGACAAACACTCTGATGAAACAACAACACATTACATTTGTATCGCGCCTTTCACGTCAGGAGGACGTCCCAAGGTGCTGACTCTCCCCATCACAGGATTGAACCAAATATTCCGATTGGACAGCCACCAATTAACTCCCAACTGCATCAGTACCTCTGGGCCAAACTTGCCTGAGCGGTGATCGATGGTGGCGGGTGGTGGGGGGGGGAGGGTTAGAAATCATGGCTGATGTTCCCTTGCTCCCAGTTATTGTGCCCCAAACCCTGCCCTCCCTTTCCAGAGAAGTTTGATCAGAATAATTGTGTAATTGGCGTTGAATGGTGTACGGTCAGGGTGGAGATCGTCAGTTGAACTCTAGTTGGGAGTTTAAGAAAGTTTCAGGTTTGAGTTCAAGCTCTTAAACGTTGTTCTTGTGCACTCAGACCCTGTTGTACCAACATTCTGCCTTCTGCCGACCCGGGAGTGCTATCACTCGACCCATTACAGTACAGGGTTTGATTTGGAGGGAATTCTCTTCCCCAAATCCCTCTGTCTTACCTTTATTCTTTGAAAAAACTGTGTAAAAGTCCCATCTCTCTGCCAGAAACCGCACCCTTCACGCTCCCACCTCAGGCTCCCAAATCAGTCTCCGTAAAGCTCTTCGAGACGTTCTCCTTAACATGAAACGAGCTTTATTGTTGTTGATTGTCCAGGATTCTAACTCTTAAAATTGAGCATCTCTCTCTCTCTCTCTCTCTCCAAACTTTGGGTGTAGTTTCCAAACAAAAGCCCCACGATCTCTAAAACGAGAATGTTCATTGAAATGGCGGGGGGGGGGGGGGGGGTTCGTGATTTCTCCCCAAATGGTGACTGTTCCCTCCTTTGCTCTCCGTGTTGTTTTAATTTCCATTTAGTTCTCCCAAAGTTCGAGTTGACCATCGACCCACCCAGGTACATCCAGGACCCCAACAAGTGCGAGAGGGGAACTGTTCATGCCAGGTAAGGATTATTATCTATTTATTATTATTATTATTATTATTATTGAGTCCCGGATGCTACCAGGGTTGGAAAGAGTAAAGGTAGAACCGCCGGGGAGCAGAGCAGGGTAAGGTGATGACTCCCAAGCTCTGGGTTTTAAATGCTCGGAGGTGACGGAAAGGCAAAAGCACATTTTTCTTTGAAACAAAACGTGCCACAGTTATATGGGTCTGTGCTCTATTGCCCTCTACTGTAGAGTGGAGGGACTTTCACACCAAGTTGGGATGTGCCGTCGTTGGGAAAACCCTGAGTGAAGCCCGGATAATTGATGGGCAACAGACTCGGGTGCTCTCTCTCTCTCTCGCGCGCGCTCTCTCTCACTCTCTCACTCTGTCTTTCTCCACCTCGCCTCTTCCTTCCCCAACTTCAAGTCGCTCTCTCTCTCCCTCTCTCTCACTCGCTGTCTTCCTGTTACCCTTAGCGGCTGGGTGAAGAGTGTTAGGCTCAGGATGTTGCTGTGTCTGCAACATCTTCCCTTCGCATCCTTATCTTCCACATTCTCTCTCTCTCTCTCTCTTTCTCTCTCTCAGGTACACATTTGGCAAACCGGTGACGGGCAAACTCACCGTCAACATGACAGTGAACGGCGTGGGCTACTACAGGCACGAAGTCGGTCACCCGGTCATGAAAACCATGGAGGTGAGAAGCCGGTTAAAAGAGTTCGATTGGAACGGGAGTTGCCGTTCAGCCCCTCGAGCCTGTTCCGCCATTCTATCAGATTGTGGCTGATCTGTACCTCACCTCCAATTACTCACCCTTGCCCCATATCCCTTGATGCCCTGTCTTGGAAAACTTGGATGGATAAGGCTTCAAATGATGATGGATACCCGATTCCATGTCTCGCACTTAATAGTCCTCGCTTCTCGTGCGTGTTTGGTTTGTGTCCAGACAGGCTTTAGCGTGCTCGCGTTTATCAAGCTTGGATTCAGTCAGCCTCCAGCCTGATTTCCAATCCTGCCTTGGCAAGCATCCAGCATCAATTCACCAGGTTATCATAGAACCTTACAGCACAGCGAGAGGCCATTCAGTCCATCGTGCCTTCATTCCTCTTTGAAAGAGCTACCAACTAGTCCCATTGCCCCTATAGCTTTGCTTTTTATTTTCAAGTACATATCCAGTTCCCTTTTGAAAGTTATTATCGAATCTGCTTCCACCGCTCTGCGTCCCAGATCAATTAATACCTGGGATGAAGCGGGTTCATCGACGAAGAGAGGCCGGGCGATATTCCCGGAGCGATGTTCCACTCTCCTGCCCTGTGACACACTCCCGGCTCTAACCCTCCCTGTTTTATTTCCTTTGCCCGTCTTTCCCGGCTGCAGATTGACGGCATTGCCGGCTTTCCCATCTGCGTCAAGGACATGATGCCGGTCGACGTGCCGGAACATTTCCGCGGCTCCGTGAACATCTGGGCGTCGGTGACCAGCTCCGACGGCAGCAAACAGATCACCTTTGACGACTCCACTCCTGTCCACAAGCAGCTGATTGACATCAAGTATTCCAAGGATACTCGCAAGCAGTTTAAGCCGGGTCTCCCGTACAAAGGCAAGGTGAGCCAGCCCGAACCAAGGCCAATGGGACGCTGCTATTGATAAGGAACCTAAGCTTAGGGGCAATGGTCATAGTCAAGATAATAATAATAATAATCTTCACATTGACGTAGCGCCTTTCACGTCAAAGAGCTTTACAGGACTGTAAAGCATAGTGACTGTGTGTTTTGTGCGAGAGCATGACGCCAAGCCAGAGGGAAGGGAAAGGTGACCGGTCGAAGTGGAAGGTCATCAGGCCGTGACCTGAAGATGGGGAAGGAGGGAATAAGGCGGAGGGAGGGATTGCGGGATAAGGCTGTCTATCAAATGCAAGCATTATTAGTATATTAGTTGCAGTAGAAGCTCAGGGAGGGATTTGCTTTGGTTTTTCTACAAGAGTGGGTTACTGATGAACAACAACTTTATCTCTGGCTCATTGTCAGGTGGAGGTGACTTACCCGGACGGCAGCTCTGCAGACGGAGTCACAGTACGCATTAAGGCTGAGCTCACCCCGAAGGACAATGTCTACACCAGCGAACTGGTGTCCAAGAACGGCGTGGTGCAGTTTGAGATTCCCTCCATCCCAACCGTGGCTCAGTACGTCTGGTTAGAGGTGGGTACAGGCAGCCGCGAGCCCGAGCGAGAGGTAGAGCCAGCGATGGGAGTTGGGGTGGAGGGTGTTGAGAGAATCATAGAATCTTATAGCCAGAAGGAGGCCATTCGGCCCATCTCGTTCCTGTGCCAGGCTCTTTGAAAGAGCTACCGAATAGTCCCACTCCCACGCTCTTACCCCATAGTCCTGCAAATCGTTCCTTTTCACGTACGCATCCAATTCCCTGCCGTTGAGGGAAGAGAGCAAGAGGTCAGAGGGAGGGAGACATGGGAAAGGCGTGAGAGTGCGGCGATGGGGAGGAAAGGTTTGGGGAGAGAAAGAGCGTGACGGAGGATGAAAGTGACTGGGTTTCTATGCTGGGATTCTCCACAATAACTGAGCTCCGCCAAGTTAAGTGGAATAGGCAGATGTTGAAAATTGTCTTGAGAATGGGTTTGGAGTGAGCGAGAACCGATCGGGATGTCAGTGGTATTGAGACGGGTATTTGAGGGAGGGGCAGGGCTGAGGCTGAGAGCAGAGCGAGCTTCACCCCACCGTCTCTGCAAGGGGTAAAATAATCAACAACGTGTTTTGTTTCCTCTCTCTCTCAGACCAAGGTGACAGCGATCGAGGGGAAAGTAGCAGGTGACCAGTATCTCCCGAGTTACCTGTCCATCAGTAGCTGGTACTCGCCGAGCAAATGCCACATTCAACTTCAGGGGCCGGACAGAGCGTTCCAGGTAAGTAGGTGTTTGTACCAGTTATCACCCGCCTTTTGCCAGAACCTAATCCTAAAGTTAGAGCTATTTTAGGCCATTTAGGAGTAAAATCAGGAGGCATATATTTCACTCAAAGGGGAGTGGGAATCCGGAGACGTTGGATCCATTCACATTTTTAAGACTGAGGTGGATAGATGTTTCGCATGTCAGGGTATCAAGGGATACGGGGTAAAGGCGGGTAATTGGGGGGGGGTTTTGAGGTACCAGATCAGTCATGATCTTATAGAATGACGGAACAGGGCTTGAGGGCTGAATGGCCTCCTCCCGTTCCTAACCTGAACGCTTTCTGTTGCATCATCGCCATCTCTTACGAAGGCTCAAACTGTTGTCAGGAGGTCGTGGGTTTCGAAGACCCCCCCCCCCCACCCCAAGTTGAGCTCACGTGGTTCTAGGTTATTACAAGTGTAACGTGCTGTTGTTGTTGTTGTTTATCTGTGAGCACAGGTGGGGGAGGAAGCCTGGATAGCGCTGAAGTCCACCTGCGCCTGTGACTTTACCCTTCACTACGAGCTGGCGTCTCGAGGGAACATCGTGAAGGCGGGGATGCAGGCGGCCAGCGTCACCCGGCAGCGCAGCAAGAGAGCGACCGTCACCTTCGACAAGAAAAAGCAAAGCTCCCCGGCCTCGCCACACCGTAAGCGGAGGAGAAAAAGACGTGCAGATCGCCGAACCTGCCAGTCGGAGCCTTATTCCCATCAACGCCAATCAGCCGGGCTCGGTGATGATATCAGGCCCCCCACCCCCTCACCCCATTGCGGAAAAGCAAACCGTCCGGATTAGTCGGACAGGGCTGTGTGTGTGTGTGTACACAATGGATTGAATCCTGGTGTCTCGTTCTCCCCCCCCCCCCCACCCCCCTTTGTATCAGATAAACTGACACGAGGATAACCTAAAAGGAACGAGGAAGTGGGTCTATAACCGCGCGTAAAGTTGAGTGCGTTACGCGCCATGTGTGTTGGAGGCTGAATCGTAGGTTCCCTGAACGCCGTAATTCCCCTCTGCGCAAAACGCACGGAAGTGTTTAGAAGTGGCGCATAATAGACTCCCCGAGCACATGAGTATTGTGTGGGGAGTGAGTGGGGCGTAGGGGAGAGAGAGGGGGAGAGAGAGAGAGAGAGAGGGTGTTGGTCGGACACTCGTGATCGATCTTGCGCCCTGTATTTTCTCGGCGATGCGATGCATGAACACCTCACACGCGGCGAGTTTCGTCCCCTTTTGTTAAAAACCAAACCCAAAACCACCGTCTCCTCCTCTCCAGCCCCCACCAAGTCGCCGGCCGGGGAGGTCGAGGTGTGCAGCACCTCCCTGCGGTTCACCGTCACGCACAACATGGCGCCCCTCAGCAGACTCCTGGTCTACTACGTGCGGGAGAACGGAGAGGGCATCACCGACAGCATCCAAGTCCCCATCCAGCCTTCTTACGAGAATAAGGTATTTTTTGCCAGAAGAGCGCGATCCCGGAGGGAAGAAAGACTCCCGACGTACACGACTGAGCGAGCGGAGTCACGTTCGGGTAGCGGTCAGCGCGCTCGCCTCGCAAGCGAGAGGAACCGGGTTCGATTCCCGCAGAGAGAGGCTGAAGGCCCCGGCAGTATCAGTGCGGCAGTCAGGGCTGCCGAGGAAGACACTTTCTTGAACGAGGAGTGTACAGACTGTGTCTCTGTCCAGGTGTTGACCCTCCCCCCCCAGGCCTGAGTCAGACCTTTTCGGTGTGTTTGGTGTGTGTGTGGTATTTGTATATGTGTGTGGTATTTCTATGTGCGTGTGATGTTTGTATATGTGCGCGTGTTTGGTGTGTGTGTGTGTGTTAGGTGTGTGTGTGTGTGTTTGGTGTGTGGGTGTGTGTTTGGTGTGTGTGTTTGGTGTGGGTGTGTGTTTGGTGTGTGGGTGTGTGTGTGTGTGTGTTTGGTGTGGGGGGTGGGAGAGGATGTGATGAATTGCGAACATGAATAGGGGGCCAATAATTCCAATTTTTTCTCTTTGATGAAATATCCAGGTGTCGGTTTCACTCTCCTCCAACGAGACGAAGCCCGGGGACTTGATCAACCTCTCGGTGAGAGGCGAACGAGGGTCGTGCACGTGCGTCGCCACCGTGGATAAGAGCGTCTACCTGTTAAAGCCCGGCTTCCGCCTCACCACAGAGAAGGTAACACTCTGCGTTCTGTACGTTCGTGCTTTTTTGTGTGTAAACTCCCATTTCATAGGAACAGGGTAAAGTCAAATAAACTCGGTCACTCGCTCCCCGACTGCTGAGCGCAATTGGCTGCCGCGTCTCGCCCACAAAATACACACAGTCACTCCACTTTCTAGTGTATCCTGCGAAGCGCTTTGAGACATCTCAGCGACATGATGAGGCGCTACATCAAATGCAAGGATATTATTATTATTATTATTGTTAATAATAAGGCAGCAGAACAAGAGGGCACTCGTTCAGGGTTCCTCTAAAGGCAGTTTCAGGGGAGGCGCAAAGTGACGCTCGTTAACCCTTCGTGGTGCTGCGCAGATCTTCCAGGAGTTGGCGGATTACGACGTGTCGGACGCCTTTGGCATCCCCAAGGAGGACGGGCACTTCTGGTGGCCGGGGCTTTCCTCTCGGCGACGCCGCCGTTCCTCGGTTTTCCCCTGGCATTGGGACATCACCAAGGACGCTCGCTTCGCCTTCACGGTAAGCCACCGTTTGCGGAAACCGAAATTGCGAAGCAGGACCGACAGACATCCGTTCCACACGCACAGCTCGCTCCCCGTCCTCCTGCCCGTCCTCCTAATGTGTCTCTGCTCTGCCCCCCCCCCACACCCCACCCGCACCCCCGGGCTGTTTAGGAGACGGGACTAGTGGTGATGACCGACATGGTGAGCCTGAATCACCGGCAGAACGGGGGCATGTACACGGACGAGGCAGTGCCGGCTTTCCAGCCGCACACGGGGACTCTGGTGGCCGCTATGCATTCCCGCATCGTGCCGAGGTAAGTAAAAAAAAAACACACACGCGTGCACACTCACCCTGCCGTACGTCACTCCTTCACCCGGTCGCAAATAAGACCCCGGATGCGAGGCGATGGCGGCTTAGTGTCGATTGTCATTGTCGCACACTCATCGCTGACTCCTCTCTTGTCACAGAGCCGAGAAGAGGAAGAGAACGTTTTTCCCCGAAACCTGGATCTGGCATTGCCTCAACATCAGGTAGGGACCAGCAACATAAGGTCTATATATATTATGTATATATATATGTATATGGTTCACAACTGGTATTGAACCCAATGGTGATTGTGCTGACCCAAACCCATCCCCAGTCAGTAGGACAGTGGATTGGTTGCCCATTTCCTAGAGATACAGATCCGAGCACCATCCCATGTTCCATTGCATTGAGTTTGATGTAGAATCGAGTGGTAAGTACATGGTCCACACAGCGACGCTGACACGGATGCTCTTTACGGAGCTGCTGATGGGTTTTGACTTTTAATTGCCTGTATTAATGCATGTGTACCTACAATCCAGATCATTACTGCCCCTTCCGGCAATGTCCCAGGAGCAGGACATGAATTGAACAATGCGTTTAGCTGGAGAATGGTTGAGTGAGGACCCGAGAGAAACTCCCTTCTCTTTTTTTTATTATTAACCTTGACCAGGTTTGGTTTAACGTTTCGCTCAGAAGGACGGCACTTCGACAATGCGACCCACCCATCCTCCCTCCCTCCCTCCCTCCACCAGAGTGTCGCGATGGAATGTAGCTCAAAGTCCCGATGTCGGGCTCGAACCTGCAGCCTTCTGACTCGGAGACGAGCGAGAGAGAGAGAGAGAGAGAGAGTGGTACCAGCTGAGAAAATAATCTGAATGACCGCTCTTCATGCTTGTAGCTCACTCGGACCTCATTGCTGGGTTTGGCGTGGTCGACAACCAACTCAAACTGTAAAACACGACAGGGCAATATTGCGCTTAATTTGTTTTTCTCTCTTCCAAAAGGAACGCACGGAAATTGTTTTAAAATCACTTAACACATTGCAGCGAGGCCTTCTAATGGTTACAATTATTGCATACCTTGGCCCTGGGCCCAGAAAGGACTAAGTGCTCTCATGTGTGAATTGGAAAGGATTGTTGCTGCCAAAGGAAAACTAGCTGACCACTTGCGAGGTGCAAATCGCCCTGTTTCAAGTACTGCGCTGGAGTGTGGCCGGGGCTGGGAGCCTCTGCAGGCCAGTAACCGGGGGATTAAGTGAGGACATTCTGTTACTCTGCGTTGCCCGGCTGAATGTACCAGTGCTTAAAGCCCCCACACCACCTTCCCCCCACCGTGCCACACTTAATTAGCGGACCTGTCAGCCACGTTCTTGCCAAAGTTCTCTCTTGCGCTGCGTCTGTTTCCCGCTTGCATTCCAGCTCCAATCGGAGGTCGTTGATCAAAGAAAAAGCCTTGTGAATAACTGTGTGTGTCTGACTCCCAAGGCTGCACGTGTCATGCACTTGCAGTCGAGTTACGTTGGCACACCATGAAACATCTTTACAGAGAGGCTTTGTGTATTTCACTCAAGGTCTGTTTAAACTTGGCCCATCACACAGGAGCCTCAGGTATAAATAATAACAACAACAATAAAAAGCCTCGCCTGAAATGTCCTAAGGCACCTACAAGTCATAGCCTCGGAGCTTTTTAACAGCTAATTACTGTCAAGTCTAGTTGCTGATTGTTTTTGTAGGCAAACACGGAAGGTGGTTTGCCCACTGCAAGGTCCCACAAATAGCCACAAAGTGATAGCGTCGCGGAATCTCTTAATGACCGGTCCTCGGTAAACATTTCATCCAAATACGGCGCCTCCCAACAATGTAAACGCAGTGCTTCCCACCGGAACATCAGCCTAGACCGTGAGGTCAAGTCCCCCGACGTGGGACTTGAACCCGTAGCTTTGGCAGCTTGGAGCTCAGTGTGTTCTCGTACGCTTTGCCTAGGGGGAGCTCAGCGCCTTGGGACGTCCTCCTGATGTGAAAGGCACTCTACAAGTGTAATTTGTTGTCGTTAAAGGGGCTGAAACGATACGGGTTTTGAAACCATTTGAACACTCCCTAACCTTTGTCCTCGCTCCCTGTTGACAGTGATGCCACAGGTGAAGCTCAGCTGCAGGTGGAGGTCCCGGACTCCATCACAACTTGGGTGACTGAGGCCGTCGGCCTGTCCCAGGAGAGAGGCCTGGGGCTGGCCAAGCCCACCGAGCTGCGAACCTTCAAGCCTTTCTTTGTCGACTTCACGTTGCCGTACTTTGTGATTCGCGGGGAGCAAACCAAGATTCCACTGACCGTCTACAACTACCTGGCTTCCTGCGCTGAGGTACATCCATCCATGAGTGTGACGGAGCTTATCTGATTGGGTTTAGGGTTAGGGGTATAGGGGCAAACTGCACAGAGCATGTCCCGGTGTGTGTGTGTGTGTGGTGGGCGGGTGGGGGGTGTTATTTGCTAGTAATTGTCCTTACATTTAAGGACTTGGTTGCTTCTACCATCGGTGGTCGGTTTCAGTTGGGTTTGAACGCTTTCTGAGAGTTTTAACATGTGCTGATCTCTGCCCCACGTATTGCAGGTTCATGTTAAGATCACAGTCCCCAAGGGAATCAAGTTTATCGGCCACCCGGGGAAACGGCACCTGACGAGAAAAATGTGCCTCAACTCCGAGGAAGCAAAGCCAACCTCCATTGTCCTGTCCTTCAGTGAACTGGGTCTTGGAAACATCACAGGTATCAGGGGAACGGCTTCAGTTGCCCTACACTGCTTCGCTTTCCTCATGTTTTTTTCCTTCTTCTCGTGCCCTTAGTTCCACCATCTGTGTCCGAGCTTTCAGCCACTACGCCCCGAAACTCTCGAACTCTCTCCCTCAATCCCTCCGGTTTGTCCTATCCTTCCCTCTCTTCAGATCGCGCCTGAAGACCTTCCTCTTCGGCCGTGCCTACGGTCACCTCCCCCCCCGCCTCTCCCCTGCTCAGGGTTGTGCTCCGCCACTGTCGAGCGCTCTCGGACGCTGCCCTGCGTGACCTGTAAGCGTGAGGGTGGGCGAGGAAGGGTCTGGTGGTTTACGGGAACGGTGGAGTGCGTTTTACAATCCTGTTTCTTCACGTTCACAGCCAAAGCGTTTGCTTACAGTGAAACAAACTGTTGTGAGGAAGGGTTACAGGCACTGAAGAACGGCAAGTACCTGGACGAGGGCTACATGGACAAGAGGATCCCGACGGGAATGGATTACGTCAGGAGAAGCGTCCTCGTGGAGGTGAAAAAAATTGGTTACTCAATGTCTGTGGGACACTACTGTGAGCAATTGGCTGCTGTGTTTCACCCACAAAATACAGTCAGTTCACTTTACAGTATATCCTGTGAAGAGCTTTGAGACGTCTCAACGACGTGATCAGGCGCTATGTCAAATGTAAGGATTATTATTAAGTGATCTCCAATAGGACTAGTTAATGATCTTCATGTGCTCAGCACGTAGCAATAGGTTGAAGGGAATGATTGGGTGTAAAGAGACTGAATTCGGAGCAAAATAGCACCTTGAGCTCCACTGTCCAGAGTTCCCAAATTCCAACCAGTCTTAGCCTGTATTACTATAGAGGGACGTTTGCAACTGAACTCAGTTTTCCTCTCCTCTTTCATTTCTCTCTCTCTCGCTCTGTATCATACAGGCTGAAGGACTGCCCAGGGAATACACATACAGTGTTTTCTTCTGTCCCAATGGTACGTATTTTATTAACTGATTGTTATCCCATTTTTCAGTAGTGTTATTGATATTGGATTCTGTGTGCCATGCGATTCAGGCTTTAACATGTTTACAGTTTTTTTTAATGTGAAGGACCAAATGGTCTTGAAGCCTAAGATCGGGTGGAATTCCATCGGGTGGGTTGGAGGGGGTGTTGGGGGTGGGGGAGTTACTGTGTTGTCAGTTGGTGACATGACACAAATTTTCAAGACTGAGGTGGATATGTTTTTGTTACGTTTTCAAGGGTATCAGGGATGTGGGGCAAAGGTGGGTGATTGGAGTTGAGGTGCAGATCTAATAGAATGGCAGAACTGGCTCGAAGGGCTGAGTGGTCTCCTCCTGTTCCTACGACTCCTGGTCTCACTTGTGTGTCCGGCTTCTGTTTGTTCCCATCAGAGAAGATCCACATCTCGACTCCCAACAAGTACGAGTATCAGTATGTACAGAAGCCCGGGAGGATGACCCACTTCAACGTGGCAGTCAAAGCCCACAACGACGCTCATTTTGCCCTGTCCGCCGGACCCCACGACACCGTGGAGATGATCGAGATCGTGGTCGGGGGCCGGCAGAACACCAGGACGTGGGTGGCCGTCAGTAAGATGGGCGAACCCGTGGCCACCGCCAACAGCCCTCACATCCTCTCCTGGGACGAGTTCCGCAACTTCTGGATCCGTTGGAGGAACGGCGTGGTCCAGGTGAGATATTGCCTCCATCTGTGCAGCAGCAGCAACAATAACAACTTGTATTCAGACGGTACCCAGAGTGTGCGTTGAGATAACTGCTGGGAATTCAAGGCTAAAACCACCCTCCCTTTCCACCCTCCTATCCTCCCCGCACCACGCTCCCTGCCCTCCACCCCTCTCGATCCCATCCTTGACTGTCCAGCGCCTTGGGACATCCTCCGGACATAAACGTAAATGTAATTTGTTGTTGTTGAACACTGTTTGGCGAGTTCCCAATTCCTTGTCCAGTTGGGACCATTATACCTGTTCGGGCTTTGGCCTGTCTGCTTAGCAGGTGCTGTAACTGTGGTCTCAGTGAAGGGCCCATTGATTCCCAATGCAGTGAAGGGTGAGATCTGACCTTGTTGTCTCCTCTCAGGTTGGCCATGGAGCGGTGCCTTCGAACGAGTCCCTGATTGTGCAGTGGGTCAACGCCGCGTTGCCAGAGGTCAAATACATTGGCTTCTCTACGGGCTGGGGCTCGATGGGGGAGTTTAAGATCTGGAGGAAAGAGGAATCGGACGAAAACCACAACGAGGCCTTCACCCTGGGTGTTCCCCACAATGTGGTCCCCGGCTCGGAAAAGGCCACGGCCTCCATGATAGGTACTGATCTGAGCGCCCGTTGCCATGGAAACCAGGGGCACAAAATTCCACCTAGTTTTAGCCCTTGAGACTGTTTTTTTTAAAATTTAGGCGGAAGCAGCAAGTGTCGTTTGTTTCAAGAACAAACAAGACGTATTTCTGTTAGGAAATGATATCTCGGGGTGCAGTATATAGTTTGGGACGCGACTGCCAGGATGGTGGAAAGCGAACTGGATGGACGTTGGTCTTCTTTCCCCCATCAAATTATTATGTTCCTATGTTGTTTGGATTTTGCAGAATTGCTTTAAAATTCTTAAATGAAATTCTGCCTGAATTTCGCCCACAACATATCCAGTCAATTCTCTTTACAGTATATTCTGTGAAGCGCTTTGCGACATCTCGAAGACATGAGAATGCGCTACATCAAATGCAAGGATCGTTATTGTTATTGTTATTAATTTGGGAGGTGGGTATCCTCCAAATAAGACTGGATTTAAGGATTTTCAACAGTTCAAAGAACATTTGATCGTAGCTTTCAAAAGGATAGGTACTTAAAAAGAAAAAAAATTGCAGGTCTGTGGGGTAAGAGCGGTGGAGTGGAACTAGTTGGTAGCTCTTTCAAATGGTCGGGCACAGGCATGATGGGCCGAATGGCCTCCTTCTGTGCTGTAAGATTCTATGAATTGTGCATGAACGGTCTTAAATTTGAAGTCAAAATGATCTCCCAGGTTAAGACTAGGTGGAATTTCAGGCCCCTGAACTTTGGCTATGGAGGAATGTGGATGTCAGTATCCTGGTGAAACTCAGTCAACAGTGAGTGATGAAGTTAAATGTTTTAGGAAATTGTTTTTAGGCAAGTGTCTCAGCTTCCTTCAAAGGCTTGTCTCCCGCTGTGTTTGATGACCTCCAGTTATCTCACGCTGTGTCTCTCTCTTCCCCCCTCGGCCAGGGGATGTGATGGGGCCCACACTGAATAACCTGGACAACCTCCTGCGGCTCCCGTTCGGTTGTGGGGAGCAGAACATGATCCATTTCGCCCCCAACGTCTTCGTGCTGAAGTATCTTCAGAAAACCAAACAGCTGTGCGCCGAGGTGGAGAGCGAGGCCACAGATTACCTCGTACAAGGTAGGTCGTTAACCATGTAGTCAAAATGTGTGTCCTCCACCCTCCCTACCCCAGTCCGTCCACCCAGTCCATCCCCTAGCCCCTCTTACCAGGGATTTACGTAGCTGAGTCGTTAGAGCACTCATAAGTGAGAGGACCCGGGTTCGATTCCCAGGCAGAGCAAGTTTCCTTACTCTTCACACCTCTGTTTATCTAGCAGTTAGGAGGAACACGGTTGTTAGTCGATTGGCGGATCGCGCTTCGAGGGTAGTAATCCCTTCATAAATAATAATTAAATAATCTGGTCACTCGGTCCAGGACTGTGTGTGCTCTAGTTGAAAAGATGCAGGGGTGGGGGGGGGATGGGCGGATGAGATCAAATGGGCCGAAACCCTCGGGATCCGACCAGGCAAAGCGTTGACCGTTTCCTCTCTGAATTGTCTCCACTTGCAGGCTATCAACGTCAGCTGACCTACAAGAAACAGGATGGTTCCTACAGTGCATTCGGTGAGAGGGATTCCTCTGGGAGCATGTGGTGGGTGAATTTATTCAGACTCTCTTAAGCACCAACGGTGGGGGGAAATTCATAGTCAAAAGTCCGAACCAGAAGGTTGTGGGTTCAAGCCCTGTTTGGGGTCTTTGAACTCACAGTCTAGGCTGACATTCCAATACAGTTTTGAGGGAGCATCTGATTGTGCAGCCCCTGCGGATGCGACGTTAAACCAAAGTCCCAACTGCCTGTTCAGGTGGATGTTTTCAAACGTTAAGAAAATATTGTAGTCTAACGATGGGTTGGAATGTCTCTTCCCCCGTTGAGCTCCCTCTGTACTTCAATTACATTGCCCACAAAATACACAGTCACTTCGTTTCACAGTGCATTCTGTGAAGCTCTTTGCGATGACTCAACAAATGTGATAAGGCGCTCTATCAAACGCAAGGATTATTATTATATTACATCCCAGTCAACAGGCGGTTAAGACTTGAGGGGACTGGACGGTGCACGGGGTTAAGTGCTCCGAGACTTTATCCCCAACGTGAAGGAAGCTATATGAATGCAAGTTGTTGTTGTTGGGATCCGCACTTGAATCCTTTCCTAACGGAAGGGGAATCCCTTGCTCAGCCCTCTCAGAGGGCAGCAGCCATTGCGTGGGCGGGAATTGCCCTCGGAATCCGGAATCACCAGGTAACCAGGGTTCTCCCACCACAAACCGGCCTTACATTCCCCCTCATTATATTTGTGGAAAGTGTCTGAATCCTGTTTGTTAGCGTTTCGGGGGCCCAGTGGGAGCACTGCTGAGAGGTGTTGAAGTGCTTGGAATTTTTGTTTCTAAAACAACCACCTAACACTTCACATTACTTGGCAGGAACAGTAACTGCTTGTAAGTTTGCGTGGATGGATTTTGGTAGAGGGCGGAGAGTGTGGAGCAAAGGCAGCCCGAGAGTGTAGACCTTTCGGAAAAAAATCCCTACTGTATGGGTGGAACAAGTCACTGAGGAGTCTCAAGGGGAAGACACTTATCCCTTCTCTTTGAGACTAAGAAACCAGCTGACATCTAGTGCGAAGCTAGAACTCTTTAATTTTTTATCGTGCCTTGTGCACTGAAATCTCAAGCATTTTACAGTAATCAATTACTTTTTTGTAGACAACCACGCAGGTATTTTGCACACAGCAGTGTCCCTCAGCCGTCAGGTGAATGACCGGTTTTAGTTGGTGGATCGTTGGCCAGGACGCCGGGAGAAACCTTTTAGATTCATCTCACGGGGATCTTTAACGTCCACCCGTGCTGCAGAATGGCGGAACAGGCTTGAGGGGCTGAGTGGCCTACTCCTGTTTCCTATGTCCCTATGCATTGGAGCGTCTGACTGGACTGTGAGCCCAGGTACTGACATGGGGGGTGGGGGGGTGGGGTTTGAACCCACAGTCTGTGGGAGTTCGATGAAACTGAGTCCAGCCAACACTAGTAAACAGCTAGTGAGTGTTCCTTTGAATTGTACATCAAAATTATACTGTAAACCTGGAGCTGTTAATCTTCTTTAACCTTTAAATCCCGATACATAGTCCTGCATAATCCCAGCCCCTGCCTCCACCAGCAGTGATTAATCTGCACTTCGGAGAATTGCCTTCTGGCTTCTGTTGTAGGATGTTCCTGCCCACTGCCAACCCTGGGGACATCTATGGGCTTAATTCACTGGAAGGTGTCCAACTCCGACAGCTCACAGAGTTTATAAATAAAAGAGGGGAGTGTGCGTGGGGGTGTGGGTGAGTGGGGGTAATTAATTGAAAGGAAATCAGTGATACAATCACCAAATCCGAAGCCCTTTGGCTCCTGGGAAAAGGTCTACACTCTCAGGCTGCTTTCCCTCCACACTCTCCACCCTCTACCAAATCCATCTACTGGATCTCACGTCAGTCTTTCATCCCCACCCACGACGGGACAGTGAGTAATGGTTCGGATAAAGTCAGGCAGTTTAAGCCCCAATCGAAGTTTTGTTTGTTCTTTTTTTTCTGCCAAGAAAAGGTAAACGTTACTTAAGATAGGTTCACGATGTTGGCGGAAGCCTTGGGTATTTTTTTTCGTTTAAGGCAAAAGCTTAACGAAAACGCAAGCCTCGTGCATCTCAACCCGCCCTTTGCTTTTCACTGAGGAGTTTGGTCAAAAACAAGAAAAGGAGGAATCAGTGAAACCGGGCGTTTTGTGCGGGACTTGGTTCCATTCCTGTTGGGTCCCAGGCCAGGTGTGGCAGGCACTCAGTTAGTCTTTGCGTTCGAGATAGATTTGCGCCCATAACATCTCAAGGCGCGCCATAGCTAATTGCTGTCAAGTGTGGTGACTGGGGTTTTGGAGGCAACAAGCACAGCAGCCAACATCGGTGCAGCGGAATGTAAATGAGCAATTAATTGGGTGGATTGTTGGCCAGGACACCTAGAGAGGTCCAACAAGGCAACGGGATCTTTGACGTCCACTCGAACAACAACAACAACTTGCATTTACATAGCGCTCTTCGTGCAGGGCAGTGTCAAAGAGCGCTTGACAGTGCTGGAGCCTGATACAAGTGGGAACTCAGCAATCTCCAGTACTGGTGGGGGCGAGTGGAGGGGGGAGTTTAAAGGTGAATTTGGTGTTGGGTACTGTTCTTTCTCCATTCCTGAAAATTCCAAACGTTCTTCGGATCTCTCTCCCTCTCTCTCCCCCTCTCTCCCTCAGTGTATAATTGCTACCAACACACAACCAAAGAAAACCCTTGATATGACAAAAGGCCATTCAACCCATTGTATTGATGCCACCCTTCACTCCTTGAATGAAGCCATCGATCCCAATCCCAGTTCTCCGCTCTTTCCCCTTAGCGAGGAGAATGTGTTGCAGGAAAGCGTATAATAAATAATAACAATAATCCTCGCATATGATTTAGCGCCTTATCACGTCATTGAGACGTCTCAAAGCGCTTCACAGAATATTTGTTAAAAGCGGATTGACTGTGCATTTTGTGAGCGAAACGGATTGGGGGGAGGGAGCTATGCGTCACCTGAGCAATAAATTCGTCGGCCAAGTCTACAAAACAAAACAAGACCTCGCTGGGGGAATAACGCAGTTGTTTACAGGGATTAATAAAAAGTGTTCCAGAATTTATTCTGTGGAAGAAAACATTTGCTAAACTGGAATACTCATTAAATTGGAATCAAACTGCAACAAATCATAAAAACAACCACACAAAAAACAGATGCAAGCGAGAAAAATACAGTCGTGCTCTCGACCCCCAAAACCAATGGCCCTTTTTTTTTTGCCTCTGGGACTGTCCGTGTTCATGTTAAAAAAATATATATACCGCACTAAATCATTGCGAAATGGCAGCTCCCCCTTTGTGTGATGCCTGGCGTATTTCAATCCCTCTCAGTGAAAAAGGTTGTGACAGACTGTTACTTAACACTCGAAAAATTCACCGTAGTTTGTTTGCTAACTGCCTGACCGGTCTCACTGGCAGATGTAATAATAGCTTGATTAAGTGGTTGAGAAAGCAAGCCCTTCAGCCTGGTGGAGATGGCATCGTGCTGAACAGACCCTGGGGTCATTAGCCATGGTTTGTCTAATAGGTTTCGAAGCCCGAGAGAGTTTAAAATACTGCCTCGGTTTTGCAAAAGTTTCAACATTTATGTCTGGACGCCTCCTTTTTTTTTTGTTGTTGTGATTTTTTTTTTGGTAAACAAGTGGTTTTTTTTTTATCGGCCCCCCAAAAAAAGGCACCGTGAACTTATATTGGCATAAGAACGATCGGGTGGGTTTGTTTCACACGAGATATCAGAATGGTTTCAGTCCGCGAGGTGTTTGCTCACTCGGCAGGATGATTCGAGGAAAGGAAACTTAAGTCATTAGCAAATGTGGGTTTATATTCCCCTGAGCTGAGAGGGGTCGAAGGGGTGATCTGATTGAGGTGTTTAAAATGATTTGATAAGATAGATGGAGAGAGATGCTTTCCCCCCTCCCCCCCCCACTCCTGCTCCCCCCCCCCCCCCCCCCCCCCGCCCCCCACACTGCACTCCCCTCTGTTCGTGGAATTCATCTTAAAATTAAAGCCAACCCAATTAAGAGTGAATCAGAAAGCATTTCTTCAACACAAAGGGTTGTGGAAACGTGGAATTTGCTCCCCCACCCCCCCTCCCCCCCCCACCTCAAAAGGTTCTGAATGTCTGGTCAATTTAAATATTTCAAGGGATGTGATGAAGGGCCAGGAAATGGGATTAAACTGCAGATAAGCCGTGATCTAATAAAATTTTGGGGGCAGAATGGTCTACTCCTGTTCCTGTCATCTTGTGTTCTTATCTCATTTAAATGCAAAGATTATTATTATTAATAATAACAATAATCATCATCATAATTACAATCCTCGCCTTTGACAAGGCGTCTCATCGCCCCGTCGAGACGTCTCAAAGTGTTTCGCTAGTTTGGTTTGCCGCGAATGTTTGAGACATCCTCCCGACTGTGAAAGGCGCTAAGTAAATGTGAATTGGGTTGTATGTCTGTATGATGTGTTTCCGCATGTGTCAGAGACCTGGCGAAGGGCCCAAAATAACCCTCTGTAATATCTACACGTGCCTGTGATTGAGCTGCTGGTGGGTGGGGTGGGGTGGGCTGTAGAGTTGCCTCATGTGTGAGATGACACTGCAGTGTGTGTGTGTGCGTCCAGGATTCCTTGGCAGTCACAGCAGATGGTGCCTCACCCATTCGGGGATTGGAAACAGTTCAGAAATCCACAGCGAACGTATTTTATGCGAGGGGCGTTGTTGCAGGGAAATGGAACACTTTGTCTTTTCGGGGTTTTTCGGTGACGGCATCAAACACTCCTCAATCAAGAGTCATCTCCCCCACCCCCACCCCCACCACCACACCCCACCCCACTCCCCGATACACAGCCAAGCTGCTTGAATCTTCGCTGCTCCTAAGCAATAGGGGAGACATTCCACCTTCGTCTAGGCTTACTCTCGTTTCCTTAGCACTTCCGAATGGTCAGAATTTTTAGCAAATTGTGGAATTCGGTCTCAACTTTGAAGTTGGTTTTCTGTGGTCTCTTAATGATAATAATAATAATCCTTGCATTTGATACTGCGCCTTAGTACGTCTTCGAGACATCTCGACTGTGTATTTTGTGGGCAAAACTTAAAAGAACTTGGGAGAAATTCAGGCTGTAGTTAAGAATCTGACATGCTCTAAAAATGCTAAGCAAACCGAGTAAATCTAGACCCTGGTGCAATTTCGACCCCACATGTGTCTTTAAGATCAGCATTGCATGGAAGCACGCCCATCGTTGCACCATTGTAAGTTTTTCCGTTTCTCGCACCAAATTGTCCGTGTGCCAAATTAGTGGGCTCACATCTGGCTGGAGCCCACTCCCAGCTCATTTCATTTTCGAGTCCTTGCAGCTGGCAGAGGGAGAGACTGGATTTGAACCCTTCCCTCAAAAGGGAAGGGACTGTTTTCTAACCCACTGTCCCGATCATAGAATCATAGAATCTTTCAGCACAGAAGGAGGCCATTCGGCCCATCGTGCCTGTGCAGGTTCTTTGAAAGAGCCACCAACTAGAACTACCCACTCCCCCGATGTTACCGCATACCCTTGCTTTCCCCATACGCCTCTTCTTAAACTTTTTAATCGGTGCTGTCAATGCAAGTTACGTGGCTTTAGCTGGTTGGACTCCAGTAGTTACCCCAACGCACACTAGTGGGTCCCCCAAACCTTGCCAGCCTACGCCTAATACTTTCCGGAATTAAGTAGACAGGATGCATCCCTCCAGGGAGAAAGAGAGAGTGCGCATTCCATTCCAACAATCTATCTCTGGGATTTCCATGCGTTGGTGGATGGGATGCATGGAATTTTTGGTTTGGATACTCTAAGCACAGTGATGGGTTTCCGCATGTGTCAGACACCTGGGTAACCAAGCAAAAAAGATTGGGTTGATGGTAACTTGTCACTGTTAGCTGGAACGCCTTATCTTTGTGTGAACCTGGTGATCTCTAGATCTCTGAGACCAGCCTCTAGCTAACAGGGCTCCTGTCTGTCTTGTCACTGTTTGGTTTCAGGCTGACGGCGTTTGTCCTGAAGTCGTTCGCGCAGTCGCGCGGGTTCATTTACATCGACCCCAAGGAGCTGACGGCACCCAAAGACTGGATCATCCAGCACCAGAAAGAAGACGGCTCTTTCCCAGCCGTGGGACGAATCCTCAACAAGGACATCCAGGTACCTGCTCGGTGGGGAGACTTGTTATCAGTTGCGTTAGCTTAACAGTATGGACTCGCTGTTTAGTCAGTGTGAGTGTTAAAGACCCTCCAATCTTGGAACAATGCGCTTCTCAATAGAGAGATTTGTTTTATGCTTTATGAAGGGGGTGAATGTGATATATTAGCTGGATGTATCTCTTGAGACGCTACCCCCACCTGAAGGCCGTCGTACAAACCCAAGTTGCCGAGGTATTAATGCTATTGCGATGGGATTGTTCTCTCCAGGGCGGAATCCACGGGAAGATCTCTCTGACAGCCTATGTGGTCGCTGCTCTGCTTGAGACGGGCATCACTTCCGAGGTACAGTACACACTGCTGAGCAAAATCAGCCGCCTCCAGGCGCTGCTCATCGCACAGCTTATTAGTGGAGTCCCAGGTGGTTGGGATTTTGATACGTGTGACCTCTCAGCGCTGGATTATAACAGTCTTTGCGTCTCGTGTAGTTTCATGTTTGATGTAAACATTCTCATCGAGCGGTAAGTCTTGTCTGTGGTGCCCTGCCCTACGCTGCACAGTTCGACCTTGCTTTCCCAAGCCCAAGGAAGAGCAGGAAAAGTGTTAATCCCGACCGAGCGAACTCGTCGATCAGGAAGAAAGTGGAGGAAAGAGTTAATCGCATTTTGGGGCCAACAAAATCTAACTAGGAAGAGGTTGTGGACGGGGTCAGCCTCATCTGCTAACTAGCTATAAAGGCAAAGAGGTGCTTTAGGGGTTAGTGATCTGTCTGCAGGGGGAATCCCTGTGGTGTTTAACAGGGAGAGAGCAGGAATGTTGTTAGAATTTAGTGAATTCAAGCACTTGAGGCATTTCCTGCTCACTTACTCTGCTCTCAAGCTATGACAAGCACGCTGAGGTCAGGAAACAGGAAGGACCTCTGCCACCAGACATTCTCACCTCACAACCGGGTTACAGGGTCGGGGGGGAGGGGGGGGGTGCAGAGGATCCAGACTCTCACTGGGATGAGGGGGTGGAGAAAGAGGTTTAATTATCCTGCTCAAGCTCCTCAGCAAGTTTCGCCCACAGAATATACAGTCAATTCAATTTACAATGTGTCCCGTGAAGCGTTTTGAGACGTCTCGAGGACATGATAAGGCGCTGTATCGAATGCAAGGATTATTATTATTATTATTATGATGAACCTCGGGCTGATTATTTATTTGAATGTATTATTGAATCGCCCGGTTAGGAAGAAAAGGCCGCGGTTGCCAAAGCCAAGCATTTCCTGGAGACAAACATGTACTCGGCAGATGATCCGTACACCACTGCTCTCTCGGCTTACGCTCTGACTCTCCTGAGGAGCACCTATGCTTCAGTGGCACTGAGGAAGCTGAACAACATGGCTATCATGCAAGGTATGTGGAGCCTTGACCTCACTCTGCAGGAGATCACTTGCTTAATTACTCCACTACCCACTGCCCCCGCTCGGCTGGCTCCGGCCTCCTGCCTGTCCCTCGGAGGTCCCCTCTGCTCCACCATCAGCGGCCATGCTCCCAGCCACTTAATGCCCCGAAGCTTTGGAACTCTCTCCCTCAATCCTCCGCCTTACGGTCACCTCCTTCCACGTGGAGGGCGCTGTGTAAGCACAGGTTGTTTGTTGTTGGTAATGCGATAAAGAAAGGTCACAGCAATGAGAAATGCTAGGAAAAGAGAAGTTAAATCGCTCACAAAATATGCAATCAATCCTCTTTACAATATAACCTGTCAAGCGCTTTGAGACGTCTCAACGACCTGATGATTATTATTTATTATTAAAAGTTAAATCGCGCGATTGCTGAGTGTCCTGCGAGCTGTTGATCAGTGGGGCAGATACTCCGTGAGTTGAGTAACTCGTGTGTTTTGAATAACAGATGGCTTCACACACTGGAGCCTGACCGGTACCACAGTCACCGACGAGGACACATTCATGGGCTTCAATGACGGCCTCTCACAGTCGGGTAAGGTGGTCACTGCAGATTCTTTGAGGTGGGGGCGGGGGCGGGGGGGGGCTTGGTTCGGTCGATCGCACTCTCTCGCCGCTGGGTCAGAAGACGGTGGGTTCAGGCCCCACTTGGGGACTTGAGCTCACAGTCCAGGCTGAGGTTCCAGCGCAGTGTTGAGAGAGAGAGAGCGCACTGCAATGTCCGAGGTGCCGTCCTTCAGATGGGCTGTGAAATTGAGATTCCCATCGAGTGGACGTTAGGATCTTGCGATACTGTGATCGATGAGAAATTGATGGATAGATACTCGAAGGTGGGAATGGGGGAACTGAATGCTTTGGGCTTGAAGGGGCTGTGTTGCTGGGTTCCCTCAATAATGTTCTCTCTCTTGTCCCTCTCTCTCTCTCTCTCTCTCTTGACCAGTTGTCTCAGCAGAAGTGGAGATGACGGCATACTCGCTGCTCACGTACACCCTGCTCGGGGATGTAGCCTCGGCCCTCCCGGTTGTGAAGTGGCTTTCGCAGCAAAGGAACGCGCTGGGCGGATTTTCATCGACCCAGGTAAACCGCACGCCAACACCAGCGGGTGGGGAGGTTTGGCATCAACGAGCACCAAAACCAGACACGTGTGTTTTTCTTTTATATACACACACACACACTCACACACGTATGTGAGCACGTAATATACTCGCGCACGGCTACAAGCACACAAGCGATGCACGGCTAAACATGAGGGTCATAACGGAAGGGTAACCGTGGCATTGCTAGCGAGGCATTTACGTGGGCTTTCAATGATCCAACAGCAACTTGCATCAAATATAGTGCATACTCCGCTGAAGTGCTGTGGAGCCGTGGGACGTTTCAGTTGAAGTGAGATTAACCTCAGCTGTTCTCTCTTGTGCTCTCTCTATGTCTCTCTCTCTCTCTCTCTCTCTCTCCAGGACACCTGCGTCGCTCTGCAAGCGCTCTCCGAGTACGCCATCCTCTCCTACGTGGGGGGCGTCAATCTGACCATCTCCCTCGCCTCAACCAACCTGGATTTTCAGGAGTCCTTTGAGTTGAACAAAGACAACAAGAAGATCCTCCAAACGGCGGTGGTGAGTGACCCTGCGCCCAGGCCCCTCGCTCCGAGCCCGACCTCCTTCTAGACACCATCCCTCCGCACCGGCCTGCTCCATGTCACCGCGCCCTGCCGGCCCCAACATCTTCGGTCGGGCCTTTGTATTCCCCAGTTGTAGATTTGGTATTATTCCTGGTTCAATGGCATTTTGTGTCTTTCTCCCCTTTTTTCCCGCTAGATTCCGAGCATCCCGACCGGCTTGTTTGTCAGCGCCAAGGGAGAGGGCTGCTGCCTGATGCAGGTGGGTATGGAATAAAAAAAGTTACATCGCAGTGTGCGCGCGTGTCTGTGTGGGTGTCTGTGTGGGTGTCTGTGTGCGCATGTGTCTGTGTGCGCATGTGTCTGTGTGCGCGCGTGTCTGTGTGGGTGTCTGTGTGCGCGCGTGTCTGTGTGCGTGTCTGTGTGCGCATGTGTCTGTGTGCGCGCGTGTCTGTGTGGGTGTCTGTGTGCGCATGTGTCTGTGTGTGCCCGTGTCGGCGTGTGCGTGTCTGTGTGCGCGCGTGTCTGTGTGGGGGAGTGTCTGTGTGCGCGCGTGTCTGTGTGCGCGCGTGTCTGTGTGCGCGCGTGTCTGTGTGGGTGTCTGTGTGCGCATGTGTCTGTGTGTGCCCGTGTCGGCGTGTGCGTGTCTGGGTGCGCGCGTGTCTGTGTGCGCGCGTGTCTGTGTGGGTGTCTGTGTGCGTGTCTGGGTGCGCGCGTGTCTGTGTGCGCGCGTGTCTGTGTGTGCGCGTGCCTTGTACGTGCGTCTCAAAGGCTCTGTATCCAACGCAAGGATTATTATTATTAATGTTATTATTAATATCCGTGACTTTGCAGATCGACGTGACGTACAACGTTCCAGACCCGGTGGCCAAGCCGGCGTTCCAGCTCTCAGTCACGCTGCAGGAGCCCAAGCGGGAGCGCCACCTGCACCAGCCCCCGGCCCGGGCCCCCTCCCGCAACGACAACCGCTCCGAGCGTTCCCGCAGGCGCCGCGCTGTGGGGGCCCATGACGACGACCCTGCCTCCGACCAGGATCACCAGGAATACAAAGTCACCGTGGAAGCTTGTGCCAGGTACATTCGCCAACACACCCCCTCCACTGCCCCCCACCTTCGTGGCCACCGCTCGGCCCTCCGTGCATGCATGTGTGCGCGCGTGTGTGTGTGTTCCTGCATGTGTGTGTGCGTCCCTCCTTCTCTCAAGCCAACACGGCTTTCTGCTCGCGGGTCGTTCTCGAGTGTCGCTCCGGGGACACAACCCCAGCGTGAAGGGCGCTACGTAAATGCAAGTTGTCGCTGCGTCTTGTTTGTGGGCCTCCGCGTGGGCAAGTCTCGTGGCTGTCCACCCCGATCGCTGACCTCCTTCTCGCTCCTGTAGGTGGCTCCACTCCGGCTCCTCGAACATGGCTGTTCTGGAGGTGCCTCTCCTGTCGGGGTTCCGAGCGGGCGTGGAGAGCCTCGAACAGGTAGGGAAAACCTCACGACTCCCTCATGACGCTCTCTCACTCGCTCTGTTACTCGCCCTCTCACTCTCGCCTTTTCTGAATTTCCCCAATCGAATGGTTTCTGATATTGATAAACAAGCAATCGCCATAAAGAACAACGACAACAACTTGGATTTATATAGTGCCCCCTTCGCCGGACGGCCTCTCGGAGCGCTTCACAGTAACGGATCCCGGGGCCGAGCCGGGGGGAGGGAAAGTGTGGGGGGTTTTGCGGAAGAGAGAAGACTGAGAGCAAACGGGGTCTGTCAGCAGAGTAGAGTGTTGAGTCCCAGCTCCGTGTGAATGGTTTGTAAGTCCTTATCTCGGGAGGAGGCAGTGCCTCTTTGACTGGAGTGTACAACTGGGGAGTAATCTCGCCAAACGTCTGCACCTCGTTCCACTGAAGGCTCAGTGTCTTGGACTCAATCTGGTTCCTGCTATAAGAACAACACTTATAGCTTGTGTGGTGTGGGGGGGCTGGGGTGGGGGGGGGGCGGAGGTGGGGGGGAATGGGGGAGAGGAGGGATCGAGAGGAAGGATGGACGGAGGCATCAGATACCATGATCAGCAATCTGGAGGTAATGGGTGCCTGCTGACATTGAATAAGATGCTATAACAGAGTGGGAGAGAGGAAAAAAGCCAAAGCCCCTCCCTCCCGGGGCTGAAAGGAGCATGCGTGAATATTAGACCCCCCCCACCGCGCCCCTCTCCCCCATTTCCCCTGGTGATAGGGCCAAGAAGGAGTCAACAACAACCACAACTTGCGTTCATATAGTGGCCCTCACGCCGGGCGGAATCCCAGAGCGCTTGAAACGGGGAGGGAGTCCCCGGAGAGAGGAGGGAATACAGTGGCAGTGAGAGAAAGCGAGAGGGGGGCGAGGGGGGGGTGTGGGGGAGAAAAAAGATTGGCGGGAAAACTAGCAACAAGAATTTGAGGTCACAATTTTGTTTCAACCGATTCCAAAGTAAATATTGGACCGAGGATTATTCCAGCGTCTCTCTGTCCTCTGCGAGTACCGCAGGAGTGTTGCTACTGAAATGTTAGAATAGAATAATATTTTCAGAAGGTGTGCTGGGGGGGAAGCTGGGAACTGTTTCCGAGACCTATTTGCCTCCCACTTAACAAGTACTGTGCTTTCGTGCCATCGTTGCCAATTGATGCTTCCACGTTGAGCGAAACCTGTAAGTTCTATCGCCACCGCAGACGCAAGCCACGAGAGATCCACACAGTGGTGTCATTGAGCGCTCGCCTCGCAAGCGAGAGGACCCGGGTTCGATTCCCGGGTGGGGCGTAACCTTAGGCAGGTTTCCTTACTCCACAAACACGCCTCTGTTTTGTCCAGCGGTAAATAGGAACCCTTCGCTCGTCGATTGACGGATCGCTTTTCCGGCGGTGGGGGGGGTGGTAATCCCCTCAAAATAACAATTTGGCCAAGGATAAACAATTAAAAGACGTGGGAAGGCGCCATATAGTAATAACAACAACAATACTAACAATCTTTGCATTTGGTAAAGTGCCTCATCGCGTCTTCGAGACGTTCTCAAAACGCTTCACAGCATATCCTGTCAAGTGGAGTGACTGTATGTTTCGCACACGTCAAACGCGAGGGTTAGTGTTGTTGTCGTTGAAGGGTTTAAGGGTTAAAACTGCACCGGCAAGTCGCAGTGAACGTCTTCGTCATTAGCTGGGCACACTCCGAATGAAGAATGCTGGGACGAGGGCTGCTGTGAGTGAGCCAAAGGTCTTTCCACAAGGGGCCTCTTGCATTAGTTTTACAGCAACCACAGTGTAATAACAGGCACACACAAACGTGCAGAAACATGCTCAGACACGTGCACATCAGCAGCCCAGAGCGGTGCTCTCTCTCTCTCTCTCTCTCTCGTCCTCTCTCTCTCTCTCGTCCTCTCTCTCGTGCTCTGGGAATCTCGATCCAATCCATTTTCTTTTGTTCAATTAAATTTCTTTTTGGTCTAAAACGAAGAGGGAGAGGGAAAGACTACTTCAGTGAGCGCGTAGTAAACTCGAGGCCGAAGGGAAAGCAGTACCTATCGTTTCTTTCGAGAACGCACTTGGTAGATTTCTGCGGGAAAATAATATCTCGGGGCACGGTGTGCGGTTTGGGACATGGAGATGTCAAAGTAACTGCCAGGAGGGCGGAAGGCCAAATTCTTACGTTCTTTTAAATTAAAGGTGAGGCTTTAAACTTTTTCCCGGTACTCCCCAGGCCGACAACCCTCCGGATAAATAAATTGGTCGCTCGCTGCCAAACAGGTTTGCGGGATCTCACTGGGCGCGAATTGGCTGCCGTGGTTCGCCTGCAAACTCTACAGTCACGTCCTCCGCAGTCAAATCCTCTCCCCACACAACGCGTGGCTAGCGAGGGAACTGCGTTGTAGAACTTATGGCGTTCCACCGGGTTTGCATTTGAGAAGCCGTCTGTGTACGACGTGGAAACGCCTCCAAAGAGCACCGCAGTCAAGTACGGTCAAGTCTCCCTGCAGGCGAGCGCAGCAGCGAATGTACACGGAGCTCAGCCTGAAGTTTGGGGTTCAGAGGTTGTTACCTTAGGCAAGTTTCCCAACTCCACACACACTCCTTCCTCTGTTTACCTAGCAGTAGGCAGGAACCCGGTTGTCAGTCGATTGGCGGATTGCTTTCCAAGGGGTAATAATCCCTTCGAAAATTATTAATAATGGTAACTTGGTCGCTTCAATCCACGACTGTTTGCGGGGACGCTGCTGTGCGCAATCGGCTGCGGCATTTCACCCACAAAATATACAGTCAATTCACTTTGCAGTGTACCCTGTGAAGCGCTTTGAGATGTCTCGAAGACGTGATAAGGCGCTGTATCAAATGCCAGGATTATTATTTACCTCTCCTCCCTCAATTTTCATAGCCCTGCATTAAGGGCTCTGGGACGCTACCCTGCATGAGGGGGCGCTATATAAATGCAAGTTGTTGTTGAAGTTGTTGTTATTTACACTGGCTAGCTTGCTCCCTCAAGCTACTCCCAAGCTCACTGTTAGTCCAGCAAAGGCCCCATACAGTAGCCTCTTGTTTTGCAATCCACTGTAAACTGTCGTGTGTGTGTGTGCGCGAGAGAGAGAGGGAGAGAGAGGTTGGAGGGGTCGTTTCGTGGAACAATGCTGGAGCCACAGTGAAATTGATTGTCTACCTCTTGCTGGTGCCTGGGATTACGTGCCCGCAAATCTTGTTAACATCTCCGGGTGCTGAAAGGGTCGAGCAGGGAGGGGAGGGGGTGGAAGGGGAGGGGGGGGGGGGGTGCGGGTGGAGAGAAAGAGAGAGGAACGAATCCCTGCGGCCATACATCAAGCTGCCTTGTAAAACTCAGCCCTGGCTGGGCAGAGCAATTCGTGTTGGCGCCAGTGTGTGAGTGCACATCGTAAAGAGTCTGTCTGTAGCCTGTTCCTGATTTCACAAACTGCTCAGTCCCTATTAAAAGCCCTAATGACAAATTAAAACAGACTTTTTAATTTCTCGACCGTGGGTTAAACGCTCGTGTAGTAAAATGCCCTTCGGTAAATGTGAAGTTTCTGCTTTTTTTTAAAAAAAACTGAACGCTTTACCCCCTTTCCCCTCTCTCCCCCCTCCGCTCCCCTCCACCTCCCTCGCAACACACCTCCGCTACTTTCCTTCTCTTTATTTTGGCAAACAAAAATTACAACTCAATGAAAATCGATGTTGCGTGTCGGTGGGCACTGAGTTTGCTCACTTGAACCCGTCTTACTTTTCTTAAAACCTGTTGCTCTGTAATAATAACAATCCTCGCATTTGATACGGCGCCTGATCACGTCTTCGAGGCACCTCAAAGCGCTTCGCGGGATACACTGTGAAGCGAATTGACTATATTTTGCCGGTGAATGCACAGTTACTACACTTCCCAGAAAACTTTGCGAAGCACTTTTTTAATAGGCGCCACGTCAAATATCGTATAATATAAAAGTTGCAAACATATAATTCCAGATTAACTGTCCCTCTCCCCTCTCTCTCTCTCTCTCCCTCTCTCTCTCTCCCTCTTTCTCTCTCTCTCTCTCTCTCTCTCTCTCTTTCAGCTGCTCCTGGATAAACAGATTGAGCTCAAACGCTACGAAACGGAGGGAAGAAAAGTTTTATTTTATTTTGACGAGGTAAGACAAGAGTGAATTCAACTTTGCAACTTGGGTTTGTTTCAGATCCTCGGTTCCCTATGTTCAGTCGAGTGGAAAACTAGGATTGTTGTGTTTCCAGGGGCGCAGAGCAGATTCCAGCTCGTAGGTCAATCCAAGACACCACCTTGAGCTACAGGAAGTCCCAAATTTCTCCTACTCTTAGCCCTAATGACCAGTATCTTGAAAATTTAAGACGGTGCAGAAACTTGGGGTAGAAAAATCTTCAATTCACTCCTAATTTGGAAGCCAGTTTTTCTCGGTCTTCATAAAGGGAATCTGTTTCCAAATTACAATACAATACAATCCAATTTACATTTACGTACGGCACCTTTCACATCAGGAGGACGTCTCAAATTGTGACTTGAGCTGAAGAATTTTCTGGCGTTCCACACTTTAGCAGATCCTTTCCTACAGCCACCCTGAGTTCCGCTCTTTCTCCCTGTTTATCCAGATTCCCAGCCAGTGTATGACCTGTGTGAAATTCCACGCTTACCGCGAATACATTGTCGGGAAGACGGCTCCCATACCAGTCAAGGTGTACGACTACTATGAACCAGGTGAACTCAAGTGCCCTGCTTGTGTCTGACTGGCATGTCTAGCCTCTTTGAGTGTCTCGGATGTGATTCGCGCTGTGGGAGTGGTCGCCTGTGTTGGAACACGTTCTCTTTTGTCTCCAGCGTTCGAGGCCACTCGATTCTACAACGTCAGCGAGACCAGTCCTCTCGCCCGCGAGCTGTGCGACGGAACAACATGCAACGAGGTGGAGAGCTCGGCCAACCGCTGGATAGGTAGGTACATGGGCAAAGCTTTCCGTGGTTACTTGTTGGTTAGAGTTCGCAGGGCGCCGGTTTTGATCGGGGAAAATAAATCTGTGTTTGACCTCTTGTCAACCTTGCAGCCAAAGCCCTAATGGGTTGGGTGGTCCTAGCTAGACAAGCAGCAGGAAAGCTTGCCAGGCAGTGCCATCAATGGTAAGTGATGCAGTTTTAGCTGTTAGACTCTCAACAATTACCCCAACGCACACTCTGGGCTCCCCCCACCCCCCCCCAAAGCCTGGGCTCTTGCCAACCCCGTGCCCCTCCCGAGAGAGAGAGAGAGAGAGCGCGCGCATTCCATTCCAACCATCAATCTCGGGGATTTCCACGTGAGGGCGGGAGGCACGGAATTCTCAGTTGGGTTTCGAGACTCTCAAGCAACGGTGATGGGTTTCCGCGTGTGTCGAGACACCCGGCTGAGCAACAAAAAAAATCCAGCGGCAATGCACGTGGCTCAGGCACACACTGACTCCACTATTAAAGCCCCTCAGTTTTTTGCTGGTCGGGTTATAATGTGAGCTCAGAGGTAACGGACCCAAACCACTGCGTTCTAACGAGGTGGGACCTTTATTGCCACAAATTGGACTCCAACCCTGCGCTGTTTTGTTGGCGTCGGAGCCTCTTAATTTGGGTTATTTCTTTTTGGGAGGGGGAAAAAAAAAGATGTTTGTGTGGCAATTGTCAGATTTCTAACGCAGCGAATGCGAGTGCAGACTGGCGCTGAGCTGAGTAAAGAACAGGAATGACCCTGACCCTGTTGACTGCTCCTCTAACTGTGACCCAGGTGAACGAGACTCCAGGGCTGCTGACAACTGGCGCGGGTCTGTTCATCAGCCTCAGGCCTCCCGCTGAGTTTACGACTTGGCCCACTTAAGGTTGGGGCCTTCGAGGGTCACCGCTCTGCGTTGCGACCCTCCCCACACACCACACCCCCACCCCCACCCCCACACACACACACACACACCCACCCAACCCTCTTTGCCTGAAGCTCGATGCAGAAAGCACAGTGGATTTCTGTTGAGTTCTGCTTCCCTCCCACTGCTCCCCCTAACCTGTTGACAATTTATAGCCTAATTCCGCTGAGGAATACATTCCTGACGGGAGTCATTATGGCAAGTCCTCCCCCAACCCCCCCCCCCCACTCCCCAAACCAGGCCATCTCTCAGTGTGCCCCCAGCCTAAAGCCAGGCACGCTCTCTCTCTCGCTCTCACTCTCTCTCGCTCTCTTAGTCCAGGGTATTAATTTACCATCGCAGCCTGCCAAGGTCAGACCCACTCATTACAGGTAGTTTACGAGCGAGGACTGGTGACTTAATGTGGATTTCTGGTTTATTTTAGACTAACCTCATAGCTGTCAGCCAGCAGCTAATGTAGGGCAGGAATACACACACTCCTGTAATAACAACAAATTACTACCTTGCCATCCGGAGGCTTGGGGGCAGCTTATTCCCCGCCCCAATCAAAATAAGGGCGAGGGGGTTGGGTGGGGGGTGGGGGGCGGTGGTTGGGCTTGGGGGTGGACGGGGGGGGGGGGGGGAGTTATTTACTGACTAAAAGGAACGTTCATTCAATAATCCATTCATAAACCAGTTCGAAAAATCACAAGCTGTAGGAGACCGGATCCCGAGCAGAGCTTTGCTCAATAAATAAGGCTCTCGTAACACAGCGTAATGTCGGTGGCTTCTTTCTTAAGTGCTATCAGTCAGGAAAAAAGCGGGCGGAGGGAGGAGAAAGGTTTTTTTTTGTACTGGATTTTGTTCCTTCTCTAGGCTCCAGCTGCCCCAATGATGTCACCCCTTCGCAGCATTTTGTTTTGTGTGTGTTATTGGAAACCCGATCTTAACGGGATGGGGGGGGGGGGGAGAAACAAACCCAGCCAGTTGTGGCGGTTCCTGTGGCAACTGCGGTGTTCCCAAACAAGTACCAGAGGGGCTGTTTGGACCTCTCGTTGCCAATGCTGAGGTCTCTGTGGGGATGAGTCAATGGACGAGGCGTAGAATAGATTCCCCCTCCCCGTTTCCCCATCAGTGCCTGACTGACCGGCTTCAGGGATAGGAGGGCGGCCGAAGAGGAAAGTCTTGAGACGGGCTTTGAAGGAGGCGAGGGAGGGGGGTGGCGAGGCGAAGGGACTGCGGAGATGGAGTTACAAAGGGTGGGGGGCAGAAAGGCTAAAGGCCCGAGCGCCGATGGTCGGGTGGGCATGGCGGGGTGGGTGGGTGGGGGGTGCATGGAGCAGGCCAGTGCCCCCTGAGCGGAGGGAGCAGGCAGGTCAGTACGGAGTGTCTCGGGTGGGCAACCGACATAGAGGAAGGTGTACAAGATGCCGGTGGGTCGGAGGGAGATGTGGTCCGGTGGCCCTGCGGGAACATCTGTGTGTGTGTGTGTATTTTTTTATCGGTTCGCTGCTCAAGAAGGGACCGTGGGAAGAGTCGGTGGAAGGTCTGGGGGTAAAATTAAGTGGCCAAAGCTACTGTAACACAGAAACTCTTCGCCCTCTCTCTCCTACCTGTGTGTTTTACTGGCAGGATTCGTGCACACTGGCACCTGTAACAACGTGTTTGACTGCCTGGAGGAGGACCACTACGAGAAGTGCATGTGTTATCGAGACTGCGGGTATGATGGAGACCTGGTGTGTGGCTCTGACTCGGTGATTTACCAGAACCAGTGCCAGATGGAGGTGGCTTCGTGTCGCAATAACACCCGCATTGAGCAGGTTCCGATGTCTCAGTGTCCGTCGGGTAAGCTGTCTTCCGTTATCATCCAAATAATAATAATAATAATCCTTGCGTATGATGCTGCGCCTGGTTTGGACGTCTCCAAGCGCTTCGCGGAATACATTGTAAAGTGGAGTAACGGGGTTATTTTCTGGGTGAAACGTAAGAAGATAAACCAGTGGGGACTTGGTTCAAATCTGTCCCAGATTAATGAGGAGAGTTCTCCTCTCTCTCTGTTGACGGCAGTGCAGTGAGTTTGGGGACTGGCGACCAGGCAATCGATGCGCATTTCACCTACAACCCTGACTGATGAATTGTTGCCTGCAAAGGCTCATATTTTAGGGGAATAGTACTGATTTTCTCCCAATGTTCGAGAGTAAATAAAGGTGACGAGAGTGGGTAAGACCGGGCCTGTAGGGCATTCTCTAAGCTCCCTGTTCTGTCCCTTTTTCTCGCTCGCAGCGGAAAGCGTAGCCGAAGAAAAGGAACCTGCATCTTCTGCGGTGGAACCGGAACAGACACACCAAACCCAATCAGGTAACCCTCGCAACTTTATATCCCAATGGCCAACCTCTGTACAAGGAGCGAGCAGGAGAATGGGAGCAGAGTAGAGTAAGAGGGAGACTCCAGTGTTGGGAAGAGAGGTACCAGCACAGACACCCAGAGCCGAATTGCCCACGTCTCCGGTGCTGTCAGCTTTAAACGCTTTTCTAAGTGGTACGTTGTGCGCAGGTGATAACGATTCATTTTGCAGGAGAGGAAAAAAAATACTTTATTTCGATTTCGCAGATGATTGCAGTGCCTGAAAGCCTCCCCAGAAATATTTAGTCTACCCTCTCCCCCCCCCTCCGCCCCACTCCACCCCACTCCACCCTGCTCGCTCGCTCGCTCTAAGATGCGCACTCTTTACGTAAATTATCACAAAAACGCAGCCAACTTCATCGCACCTTGGAAGCGCTTGCAATTATGTGGGTGGGGGCGGTGGGGGGGGGTCAGGCTCTGAGAAACACGTGTCTGATAATCCTGGCGTTTTCGTGGTTGATACAGCGCCTGGTCACGTCGTCGAGACGTCCCTAAGCGCTTCACGGGATATCCTGTAAAGCGGAGTGACTGTGTATTTTGCGGGATGAGCCTCAACAAATCCCCTAATCCCCTTGCTCCCCTCCCCACCCACATACCACAGCACACCCCCACCCCCCTACCCCCCCACACACACCCCCCCCCCACACGCGCGCATCAATTTTAACAGGACTCCGCTCATCCTCTGCACAGGAGGTTTGGTGGAGGTTTGTGCAAAAAATGGTGGGCAGTCGCCACCCGGTGGTGCGTGGCTGACACTGCGGGGCTTTAGGGGCTCGACCCTGTCGGGGTAGCGCAGCCCTGTGGGTCCTGACGTCTCAGTCCCTCGTTGCTGGGAATCAGACAACACCGACAGTCATTCTTAATGTAAAGAAAAATTCGACGGCCAAATTTTGCCGCATTTCCAGGCCGTGCCGCTGCCCCGCAAAATGATCCGCGGCCCTTCCGCTTTACGGTGCATCCCCCGCGAAGCGCTTTCGAGGCGTGTCGGTATTATTGTTGTGGTTATTGTCGCGGGCGGCGCTTCCTGCGCTCCGCGCCAAGGCCCAGTTCCCGCACGGACCCAGCGCACAGCTTGATGCCGTGATGGAAAGATGGTGGGGATGGGGTGTTCTGGAATGATGAGATCATGTGGGTCGAAGGGGCTGCATCCAAACTAATCTTGTGAATTATCTGTCCATCTCTCTCTCTCTCTCTCTCCCTCTCTCTCCCTGTCCTTTCTAACCTTTCTCTCTCTTCCCCTTTCTAACTCAACCTCCTCTCTCGCTCCCTCTGAATCTGTTTTTCCATCTCTCTCCTTGTCTCCTTCCCTGTCTTCCACCCCCATCTCTATGCTCCATCGCTTCCTTTCTCTCTTTCTCTCTCTTTCCCCCTCCCTTCCTATCTCTCTTTCTCCCCACCTCTCTCTCTCCCTCTCCCTCTCTCGCTCACACACACACACACACACACACAGAGGAGACTCCTGTGCCACAATCAGAAGTCTCCTATTACTCTTACGGAGCGAGTTACGATTATGACCCGGAACTGTTTGCGTCCGACGTGGACGACGGAATCGAGGTGACCGGAGAGCAGCTGGAGACCGGCAGCCGAGCATCGGCGGCGACACAGGAGACGAGCGAACCATCGGGAAGCAAATGGTAACAACACAGTCTCCCTGACACTCACTCCTGTGTCCAGACCGAACCTGAGAGGAGTCAGGCTCTCTCTGGCTCAGTTCCTGGTCAGACCCAATCTGACTCTCAGTGATTACTCGGTGCAATGTTCCTGGGAAAGTGCAACCAGGAACGTACGTTTTCCTGAATGTAAAGATTGTGGCCTCTCCACAGGAGAAGTTTCTGGTCAGGTTCCCCGTGTGTGGGTGGGTAGGATGTAGAGTAAAGCTCCCTCATTGACGATTCTCCTTAGGTGAGAGGTAAGCGGCGTCTCTTTGGAGCTGAGCCTGCTCCGAGGTGACTTGTCTGGCAATAGAAGGCCTTGATCGAGCCAGCCCTCTGCGATGTGACGGGCGGGGGGTTGTGAAATGAGCGATAGGATACGCAGAGTGTCTGCAGTATTCCAGGGCTCTCACTGCTGATGACAGCACAGCCCAGCCTGGCTCATCGGCAGGACCTGGAAGGGCCGACCAGTCACTGGGGGCAGGGAGTCATCTCACTCAGGTCCTGTTAACCCTCAAGCCAAAGCCCTAACGGGTAGGGTGGTCCTAGTTGGACAGACAGTGGAAAGCTTGCCAGACCGTGCTTTCCCCTGAGCCTCAGCGCTGGTTTCAGGCTAACGCCCCCACATTTCTGTTTCCTCATCTCTGACCGAAGTTTTGCTGTGATCTCGAGTCGAGGCCCAAGAACTCTTAACCAGGAGCAGGAGGAGAGGCCGTGGACTGCGTTTCAAAGCCAAGTCTGGTGCCTGGCTCCAGTCCCACCAATCCAAACAAACCACTTATTTAATAACCAAATTTTATATCAAATTTTGTTCGTAGACAAAAAAAAACCGTCTCCCAAACAGAGCGAAGTATCCTGTGCGTCGAGTGTAAAAATTAAACGTTTTCTCTCTTTCTTTCCTGTCGGCAGAGCAAGATGTTTCAGACACGGGGAGGAGAGAGGCTCTTCCTGGATGTACATGTGTGTGTTTATATGTTACAAAGTCCCCCCCCACCACCCACCCACCCACCCCCCAACGCACCTGCTGAATGAAGACTTAGTGCTTTGGCCAGACAGCATGAAACAGAGGAGTCAGATCATATCCACACCCACTATTAAATGTCCCCCCTTATTAAATAGACTAGCTAGAGGCATCTTTACATATGTACCGTTGTATTTTATAATCGAAACACGCAGGTTAGCAGGGTTAGTATTTATATTTCTGAGTGACTACATCGATGTGTTTTTTTTTGTGATCTTTAATTTACTGCTGTGGTATTTATTGGAGCTGTACTTTTTAAATACAAAATGGTTCGTTCATTGTTCCTTTTCCTTGTAGGGTCCGGGGTGGGGGGTGGGGGAAGGGGTGGGGGGGTTGGGGGTGTTGTGCGGGGCGGAGGGGTCGAAGGTTTATTTTTTTTTCAATCTCCTAACTTTATTATTTAATTTTTTTTGTCTTGTCTCTCACTTTTTTAATATATTATATATATTATATATAATTATTCACGGTTTCAGATTTCTCCACCTCTCCCTCTTGCCCCTCTCCCCTTTCTCCCTCCCCGCCCCCCTCTCCTCCCCCCGCTCAGCCAGTATCTCTTGGCTCCTATCTCCTTATCTGGGAGGAGGTAAGCGAGTTAAGCCATAAGCTATCACCCTCCCTCCCTGTCTCCCTATCTCGTTCTTTCTACCTCCCTCCCTCCCTCCCTCCTCTCCTCCCCTTTCTCTCTCCCTCTCCCCCACTCTGTGGCTATCAGCCAACTTCCCTCACCCAACAAGTGCTGATCTACTTGGGAAACGAGATGTGGGTACGGCCCATTTTAGGTTCCCCACCTCCTCCCTCCCTCCCCATCCCAAAACAAAAGGACACTTAACTACTGTAGGCATTGTAGTATTGGCCCCTTTATAACTGAGTTTGATCTGACGCACTCCGTACTGAAGTCCAGTCAGAAACTGTGGGATGGGGGGGGACGGAGGGGAGGAGATGGATGGCCAGAGCCCAGGCTGTAAGGGGAAGGACCCTCCCCCATTCCCCCCCCAACACACACACACCACTCAGCCAACACAAGATGCCAACCCTGTGCCTCCCTACTCAAACCTTTGGGGGAAAATAAATTACATTTGTTTTTCTGTGGGGTAATCTGTCCTTCGCTCCCCATCCAGAGTCCCGGCTCCATCCCAAATTCCGTCTCTTTCAATGGGTACAGGTGGCTTACTTCAGATCAGGGACGTAGGAGCGAATCCCTGTCTCTAACCCCTCCACCGCCTCCGCCTCGAGGAGGTGTGTTGGGGCGGGGGAGAATCTGAGGTTGCCAAGTCACTTCTACAGCAAGTGTTGGAGTCTAGCCTCCCCCTTTCCACACACACACATACACATACTGTTCCCCCACCCCCCCCCCCACCCCCAAACACATGTACGGGTTGCGAGGGAGGCTGAGTGCATCATCCAACAATAAAAGTGACAAATCTTTTAACAAAACCACCCACTGTGTTCAGTTCGACTTGTTGTTTACACAAAACTTCACAAGCTCAGGCTAGTCCTCGCGTCTGCCCCAGTGGGGGTGAGTTGATAGAAGATCATGGGGATGGGGGGGCTATTCCAGTTTCGAGGGGGGGGGGGGGGGAAGATGGGGGTTGGTTGTGAAGCGAATGATAGAATAAGATGCTGCCACTGACCAATGCATTCGATGTTGCTTACGCAAGGATGTTGTCAGAAATGTGACCTTAGGCCAAATGTGGCAGCCATTTTGTGCAGTTGTTATTGGCGATGAGGACATCGTGTCATCCTGCGGTGCTCAGTTGGGTGAGCACCAGCGTTGGGACCAGAATGTTGTGGGTTCAATTCCCTGTGAGTCTAGATGAGAGCTAAAGTATTGGGATGGGGGGGGGGGGGGTTGGTTGGGGAAATGAAGGGGATCAAGTAACACGACAAGTTGCATTTTTATGGGGCCTTTCGTGTCAGGAGTGCATCCAAAGGTGCTGGACAGTTGCGGGTTCGCACCGCAGTTGGGGGTTGGACTCGGGATGGGTGGGTGTCATGGGGTGGTGGGGGGGGGATGAGAGGGAAAGATAACCGAAGGTGCGATCAAAGAGGAAGGTCTTGACAAACCAGTCGAAAAGCAAAAAAAAAAGTATTTGTTGTTGAGGCTTGAAGATGCAGACACGGCTCTGAAGGGGCCGGGGGCGAGGAGAGTTGGTAAGTTCTATGCTTTGCAAATGGATTGAAAAAATCTTAATAACCGAATGCCTTCCAACAACAAGAGGCAAAAACCTCCATTTACCAATCTGGTCTTTCTCAGGCAATGTGGGTGTCGACTTTGGTGGACGGTTGTGTGTGTTCTACTGCCCTGTGACCACGTGGTGGCACTGTGGACTATAGTGTCTTGTCCTGGGTGTTGTGTTTATTACAGCCCTGACTCCCCCAACCCCTCTGCCTGGCCCCCTCCAACCCCTCTGCCTGGCCCCCTCCAACCCCTCTGCCTTGCCCCCTCCAACCCCTCTGCCTTGCCCCCTCCAATCCCTCTACCTTGCCCCATCCAACCCCTCTGCCTTGCCCCCTCCAATCCCTCTACCTTGCTCCCTCCAATCCCTCTGCCTGGCCTCCTCCAACCCCTCTGCCTGGCCCCCTCCAATCCCTCTGCCTGGCCCCCTCCAATCCCTCTGCCTTGCCCCCTCCAATCCCTCTGCCTTGCCTTGCCCCCTCCAATCCCTCTGCCTTGCCCCTCCAATCCCTCTGCCTGCCCCCTCCAATCCCTCTGCCTTGCCCCTCCAATCCCTCTGCCTGGCCCCCTCCAATCCCTCTGCCTTGCCCCCTCCAATCCCTCTGCCTGGCCCCCTCCAATCCCTCTGCCTGGCCCCCTCCAATCCCTCTGCCTGGCCCCTCCTTCCCCTCTTTTGTTTTACATCACAACTGAAGACCTTGCTCTTCAACCGTGCTTACGGTCACCTCCACCACGTTAAGCACACCGAGACACCGCCCCGCCTGAAGGGGGCTACCATATATACAGGTTGTTGTTGTTGTTGTTGTTGGCGTTGCCCCTATAATGGAGACTTACACTCCCAATAAATACTTGCTCCTTTACCAGCTCCTCTCATTTCGATTGGCATCCAACGTCCCCTCAAGCAGGCAGACCTCAGTTTATAATGCAAGGATTGTTGTGTGATTATTAGGATCATTACAACTTTAGCAGTTACCCCAATGCGCAATCTGGGGTCCCAGAGCCTTGGCTCTTGCCAACCTGTGCCTAACATAGATCTCCATACAATGGGAATAAAGTCACTTCATTTGGTCACTCACTCCACGACTGTTCGTGGTGACGCCGCTGTGTGCCATGCAAGGATTATTATATATTATTATTATAATCGGCTGCCGCGTTTCGTCCACAAAATGCACAGCCAACTCACTTCACAGTGCATCTTGTGAAGCCCTTTGAGACGTCACAAAGACGCGATGGCGCTCTGTATCAAACTCCAGGATCATCATCGTCATCATTATATTTATTATTATTATTACTCTAAGGCGGGGGTTTCACTGGCTTGAGATTCCAATCAGACGTTGAACCAAAGTTGGATCATTTTTTGGCCAATAACAACAACATCAACAACAACAAGATTCCATTTATCGAGCGCCTTTCACGTCGGGAGGACGTCCCAAGGCGCTGAGAGGTAGAAGGTAGAAGGCGAACCAGATGGGACTTCGGTGTTTTTTCCCCCACCCACCGGCATTTCTTACGCTCTTATTCTTTTTGCAGCCATCAGAAGGCGCCAACGTGCAAGACTTGAGGGAGTCGGTGAGTGGTCGAAAAAAAAATGTATTAGAAAGAAAGGCGGAAACAGGAAAAAGTGGTGTTTTGTGTTGGATCCGGAAGGAGTGAGTGGAGTGGAGAGTGGAGTGTGTGAGTGACTTGAGATGAAGTCACTTCACGGGGGAGGTCGGAGCCGGTCAACTTCAACCTTTGGCAACCACTGCAACTGAGCAGAAAAGTGACTGAGAGAAGCGGGTGAATGTCTCAAGAGGATCCTCTGATGCAACTGATGCAAGTTACAGAATCTTTTTTTTCCCCCTTTTCCTCTCGTGTAAGATCTGGTGATTGGATCTGGTTGGGTTTATGTGTGTGAGGAGGGAGGGAGGGAGGGGTGGGGGTGTATGTGTGGGTGGGGGGGGTAGGTGCAGAGGGTGGGAGTGCAGAAGGAGCCCTCATCTGGAAGTGAGAGCCTTGTATTTCTCTCTCAAAAAAGATGTCTTCACTTATTTGTGTAAGAGTTTTCTGTGCTTTTCTTTCTTTTTTTTTCGCCCCCTCTCTCCCCCTCTCTCTCCCTCTCTCTCCCCCTCTCTCTCTCCCCCTTTCCCTCTTTCTCACACTCACTCACTCACTCTTTCTCTCTTTCTTTCTCTCCTCTGAAACATTGTGTCGATCTGTGTACAGATACAAAAAGATTGTTTGCAAAGTCGACTTTTTAGGAAGTTTTTTCCGACACGAAATGTTGCAAAATGTTGCAAGTGCTATTTTGCGACTGGTTTCCTGCGAATGTGCAAACGAACAGGGTGGTGGGGGGGGAGGGGGGTGGGGGGAGAGAGAGAGAGAGAGAGAGAGAGAAAGGGGGTGAATTGTGTCTGGACTTGAACCCAACACCACGATGTCTATGTCTTTCTCTCTCTCTCCAGAGACAGAGCAGAGGTCTGGTCCTGTAGACCCTCTCCTTTCCAAACGCTGTGTGCGAAAGCAGTGACCCAATTCGCGATGTGTGTAACTTTCGAAAGGTTGCTGTTCGCTCACAATTTATGTTTTGCCCCCTTTCTCCCCCCCCCCCCCCCTCCCCCCCCCTCTGCTCCAGTGGATTCTCTCAACTCTGTCCAAGTTGGGGTTGAGCTGAGTGAGACTTGTCTCCTCTCGACTGGCTCCGACCTCCCGCTTGTCCCCCCGTTCCTCTCCCTCCGTCCGCTCCGCCATCGGCGGCCGCGCTTTCAGCCGCTTCGCCCCGAAACTCTGGAACGCTCTCCTTCCAACCCCTCCGCCTTGCCCCCACCCACCCCCCACTTCCTTCCTTCCTTCCCCATCTTCATTCCGTGCCTGAAGACCTTCCTCTTTGACCGCGCCTATGGACACCTCCCCCCCCCACCTCCAACCCCACCCACCCTCCCACCGAGCACTTGACGGTGACGGAGTGTGCGGCACCGTCACCGTCAAGTGCTCTGGGACGCCACCCTGCGTGAGGGACGCCACATAAGTGCAAGTAGTTGTTGTTGTTGTTGTTGTTGTGAGTGTGAGCTGAGAGGCCTATCATCAGTTACAATCGGTCTCAGTCATTTTTCTTTCCAAACC